GAAGTGGTGGTCCCCTTGGTCTGTAGCTGCTGTCATGGGTAGTTTTTCACCAAAAAAGCTACGAAAGTGAGGAGAAGGTGGAATTCCTGTGTGGTTCCTGACACGAGGCCATGCTTTGAACCGGCTCTCGGGCAGTGTATCTGGCCTCCAGGTGTCTCGGTGTGTTTCTGTGAGGTAAGGGCCCGTCTTTGCTAATCGAGGGGACCCGGGGCCATGGCCCTGCAGCCTCAGAGGTGGGCGCTCCTCCTGCTAGAGATTCACCCAGCCTGGGCTGCCAGAGCCGGGCTGAGACGGCGCCGTAGGCTGTTGATGCTGCAGACGGACTGGGGGCTCACAGACCCCAGAAGTCGACCTCCCACCGCCCTGGAGATGGGGAGCCCTGGACAGGGTTCCGGCATATCCAGTGTCTGGCCACAGCTGCGTTCTGCTTCGTAGGTGACTGTCTACACTGTGTCCCACGTGGCAGAAGGGCCTGGGGCTCCTTAAGCCTCTTTATGAGGGCACTGATCCCGTCCACGAGGTGTCCCACCTTGGTGGTCAGGGTTCCAGCCTGGGAGGTCTTCGGGGACACCAGCACTCAGACCACGGCAGAAGGGGCCCAGCAGGCCTGGCCTGACCCTGCTCCCCACCCCCAGTGGCAGGCTGTTGGCCAGCTCACGGCCGCCACCACCCGCGAGGTCCTTCCTTACCTGCTCCCCACTTTACAAATGAGGAAGGATTGCAGGGTGACAGGAACCTGCCTGAGGTCCCCTAGCAGCCCCAGGAGGCCCTGATGACCACTGCCCTCTGCAGGCCCCAGGGGTCGCTGTCGTGACGAGGTCTGGCCTTCCTGCTTCGTGAGTCGGCTGCTGTAGCCGCGGGCAGCAGGCCCTGGACCCTCCCAGGAGCTGTCCGCACCGCTCGGCCGCCTCCCTGGGCCCCCTCCTTCCTGAACCGCGCCTGCACCCGCGGGCCCCCTCCTGCTCTGCTGTGCCCTCTTGCCATGCGGTTGTCGCTTCCTGCAGCCTGCGATGGCCCCCTGCCCCACAGCATCACTTCCCAAGGTTCCAGTCACCTGTGGTCTGTCCCATCTGGAAATGGGATGTGGAAGGTCCTGGGGGTAACAGTTCATGAGTTTGAAGTTGCGTAGCGTTCCGATTCTGTGAGGAAATCTCGCTGCATCCTGGATGTGGCTGTGCGTGCCCAGCACCTCCACATGCGCGTCGCCGACGGCAGCACTCGGCCCGTGCCCCGTGCGTCCATGCCGTAGCCGTAGCCCCGCCTGCCCAACAGCTGCTTGGCAGCCGTCTCTGTCCTGCTGGTGTGTTCCAGTGACCCAAAGCCGGTGCCGCCGGGTTCCGGCGCCCTGGTGTCCGTACTGATCTCTTGCGTCGTAGTTGTGCAGGGTCCTGCGCTGTGTGCAGCTTCGGGCATCCGCAGGCTGGGCTCTAGGACAAGGGGACGACCGGAAGGTTTGCTTGCTTTTCTGTGTATCAGCAGTTCCCCGAGGTCAGGGTGCTCAGCTCCCGGCACAGTGGAACTTGGGGGTGCCGCCTGCACCTGCGCGGCTGCGTGGGTGCAGGCCGCTGACCGGGGTGGGGAGGTGCCGGGCGTCGGTGCAGTGAGCGTCCGCTGGGCGCCGCTGTGCCTTAGCGCGCTGGGATTGATGGGACGGGGTCCTGCCACCCTGGGCTTTCGCCTTTCACCATCCTAGACTGGAGCGAGCTCCGCTGAGGTCCAGGCACACGCCGAGCGTCCACCCCTTCATCTTCAGAGCAGGGCCTTAGCATACTTGCAGAGTGGTGCACCAACTGCCACAGTTTAAAAACATTTTCGTCACCCAGAAAGAAGTGCCGCACCCCTGAGTCACTGCTGGCCCCCAACCCCCGGCCCCCCCCCAGCTGTGGCTGTCACTGGTCCGAACCTGTCTCCGTGGAGTTGCCTGTTGGTGACACTTGGCGTCCCAGACTTGGGGCTCAGTGTCTGCTGTCTTCAGTGACTGACGTAGGCATGGACGGCTGGGAGGCGCTGGGCCTGAGGGCCACCCTGTGAGTGAGTGGACGTTGGCCCGTTCTGCAGAAGAGCAAGGCAGGGGAGCTTTGTGGGGCCACAGGCGCAGTCAGTGGGGCAGCCAGGATTCAGCCAGGCCCAGAGAGGCGGCTGGGCCACACGAGGAGGGCATGCAGTGTGGCAGGTGCTGAGGTGGCCAGGCTCAGTCCCGCATCCCCAGGGCTCTGAGCAGGCCGACAGCAGGAGCACATGGGCACCAATACCACCCAGCCAAACCAAGGTGGTGGCCGGGGCCCAGGGAAGGGAGTCCCTGGCCACGTCAGTGGGGGAGGGGCTGAGTTGGAGACTTGACCTTTGAGACCGCCGAGCCCTGGGTCCAGCGGGCATTGTCCATCGATAGGTCATTAGTGTTCAGGCTCCCAATGTGTCTGGCCCCAGAACAACAGGAGTGCGGCTCCTCGTACTGGGACTGGGGGATGGAGGCCAGGGAGGCCGGGCCCACTGAGGCCTCTGCCCCTGCTGTGGGATTGCAGCCAGTGGCAAGGACAAGGGTGGAGCAGGAATGAGCCGTGCCAGGGTGGGAGCCAAAGTGCCCAAAGGGACCTGCAGATGGACAGATGGACGGTGGCTTTGGGACCAGGCAGCCTTCATCAGGGCAGCCCGAGGCGTCAGCGCCCCAAGCCATTCGGCCCCGCCCAGCGCCTTGGAGCCCTAGGAGCACCCAGGCACTTAGGGAGCAGGTTCCTCGCCAGCGTCTCACATCTGTGTGTTTCCAGGCGTGCCAGGCAGGAGAAACACAAAGTCTTCCCATCAGACAGGCCTGGGCCAGGCAGCCGGCTCAGGGAGCTGTCCCCCCGCCCAGCCGCCGTGCCTGGGCCAGGCTCACCCTCTTCTATTTGAGGATTCCTTTTCTTTCGAAACTCCTGGCTTCTTTCCCCTGGGAGCAAACGCCCCGCCAGCTGGGGGCGGAGGGGCTTAGCAGAGGGGAGCTGGTTTTCACTTCCGGATTGATTTTGCTCGTAGCAGCCGTGACTGGGCTGGGCCACAGCTAGGAGTTTAGAACCCAGCCGTGAACACTAAGGTCAAGTGTAGAACTCAGCCGTGGTCTCCCACGTGAGTGGCAGGCACCCGCGCACTTGAACCATCACCTGCTACCTCCCAGGGTCTGCGTTAGCAGGAAGCTGGGGTTGGGCACAGAGCCTGGACTAGAACCCAGCACTGACACAGAACACGGGTGTTCCACGTGGCATCCTAAACACTGAGCCAAAGCCCCTGCCTTTAGACTCGGGGCGGGTGAGGCACATAACCCGGCCCCCGGCCCCTTCTCTACTCTCCTCCCAACCCTGCCACAGCTGCTCCAAGGCCAGTAAAGCGCAGTACCAGCCCTGGCAGGCCCATCTCTGCCCTAGATGGGTCCTCGGTAAAATGGGGCTGCTGCCCCTCTTCCAAGCCGCGTCCCTGGCTGCTGTGTGGTGGGCGTGAGCTGCGGGTTTCCCTCCAGTACACAAGTAAGTTCCAGGGGAGAAGAGGTCCCTGGTGGCCTTGACCTTGCATTCTTGGCCACTTCAGATGCCTCCATGTGGACATGGGATGGAGGGGGCTACGCAGAGTGTGGCCTGTGGGCCAGCAGCCTCGCTCACGCGGGAGCTCGCTGGAGTGCACTCTGCTGGCTGCCCGCAGGCGCCCAGGAAGCTCAGGAGTCTTGTCTGTGCAGCCGCTGCTACGGCTGGGACCGTTTCCCCCTTGGCTTGCTTCCAGTCAAACTGTGTAGCCTCAAATTTCATTTTTTAAAAAAAGTCACCCAGAGATCAAACCAGAACAGCAGGAGGGACTCCTGCAATAAAGCATCTGGGAAAAGCCCCACTTCTCATGTGCGCACGGAAGATTTTTCAAACAGAACCCGGAGCCACTGCGAGGAGCACGGCCGTACTTCCTTGAATGCCCGGATGTGCTGTCGGCTCCACACCAGCAAGGTTTCGGTGACTTACAGCTGGCCACACTTAGCGACCAGCGCCGGCGAAGGCCGAGGGGAGGCCGTGCTTGGTGTGACCTGGCCGCCTGCCCTGGCTTTTGCCGATAGCCCATTTGTGTGTCAAACACTCAGGCCTGGAAATAGCTGCTGGGGCTGGGAGTCGTCGCGGGTGAAGGGCAACTGCCCGTGTCGTCGGCTCCCAGACGCTGTCCGATGCCACAGTGAAATGCCGGCCCGAGGACTCGGCACAGCTCATAAACCTGAGTCCCGGCCCCGGCGGGTGCCAGCCAGAACTTTGCGGCAGGACAGATGGGGCCACCAGAAGGGACCACACAGCTTAGCCAGAGAGTGAAAGGGGCGGCCACCCACCCTCCCCACAGGTCAACAGGCTGAGCCAGGACCACCCCGGTGAAACTCACCCTGGGCCAAGTCCCACTTATCAGCTGGCTCCGCCCTCCCCAGTACTGGACTCAGCTCAAGCCCTGGGAGGAAGCAGGCAGCAGGCGGGACGCCTCGGCCAGGGAGCGGTGGCAGGGCTCCCTCCACAAAGCAGGCACCGTTTCTCCTGCCACAGGGCGGCGGCTTTCAAGGTCACTGCCAGCACAGCGTCTGCCCTTTCTCTCCCGGCAAAGACCTGGGGCTGCTGGCGTCCCTGGAGGTGGAGCAAATGCAGGGGCCTTTTCTTCCCGCTCACCGCCACCTTGAGAGCCCTCAAGGGCACTTTCCCCTGAAGCTCATGACCAGGGAGCCCCTGGGAGAGGCACAGTCTGCGTGTCCACAGGGTGCTGCCAGCTTTGCACCCTGCTTCCCAGTCCGCTGTGCCCTCTGCCCCCCAACCCCCCCTGGGCTCAGCAGGCAGGCCTATCAGAAGGAGGCGTGAGACCCCTGCCAGGTACCCTGCACTCCCGGAGTCCATTGGAGCCAGGGCACAGCCCTCAGCCCCCTCTCCTGGGGTAATGCAGACACACGGGTGGGGGCTGCCGGCTCTGTGAGGGGCGGGACCCGGCTCTCACCTGCCTGTTTTCTGTGTGGTCCACAGCCCGAGACCGAGGACGAGAAGAGGCGCTTTGAGGAAGGCAAAGGACGGTACCTTCAGGTGAAGGCCAAGCGCCAGGGCCAGGCGGAGCCCCAGCCCTAGGCCTGCCCAGCGCTGGGCTCTGAGCGGCCGCCAGGACGGGCCCAGCCTCCAGTCACTTAGAAGTCGCCCCCTTGGCCAGATCCCCAGTTCACGTGCGAGCCGGTGTCGTGTGTGTCGCAGTGTTAACCTGTACTCTCTCCTGGAAGTCTCTACACCAAAGCTTTATTTATCTCCTCCCAGTGTCAGTGCTACTCCGCATCGCCCCAGGTGCCACACGCACCTCGCGGTGGGAGAGGTCAGCACACAAATAAAGATGCTGTTTGTCCGCACTTGCGAGGCTGGGTGATCGTCTGTCTTGGGGGGCTGCCCTCCCGCTGGACACGGGCTGTGGGGGTGGGGGGACTGCTGGGTGTGGCCTCAGCCTTCCCTGGCCCCCTCCCAGCATCCGGAACCTCAGGCACATTAGTGTGGGATTCACGCCTGGCTGGGATTTGCTGGCCAGACAATGCCCATTTCCCACGGGGCCCAGGTTCTGCGGCCTGGCTCCAGGGGCCCCATCTGACCCCCAGATTCCAAGGACAGCCCGGACACCCGGAGGGAGTTGATGCCTTAGCACACAGCTTCCCCAGTGTCTGATTATGCAGCATGCCGGCTCAGCACGCCTGCATGTCCACCAAGGCTGGAACGGGGCTCCAGGGAGGTGAGGCATGGGGAGAGCCCGGCCTAGCCTGGCCTGGCCCGAGGACACGGCCAGCACGGGGACCCCTGCTGTCTCTTGCCAGGAACCACCTAGACACCCTGTGATGCCAGGACCTGACATGGAAACCCCTCAGGCGGGGGCTCCTGGGATGGGTGTGGGTGGGGGTCACAGGGGCAGTGTGTGTGGCTACACCAGTGGGAGACCGTATGCTGGTGCATTTGTGTGTGTGCATCTGCGTGCTGGGCGGCTGCGTGTCACTGCATCCATGTGCACACGTGTGTGGTGTGAGGGCTCAGGGCCTATGTGTGCACCTGGGTCACTGTGTGCATCCTGGTCCAGCAGCCTCGGGGGACAGATAAGGTGGCCACGGCAGGAGCCAGCACCCATCCCCACCCATGGCTGAGAAAGGCCCTCCACCAGCTCCTCCCTGAGCTGGGGCCCAGAGGATGTTCCCGACTCGGGCTTGTCCCTGAAGCCCTAACATCTGTCCGGCTGCCTGCAGAGGGGGCTGGCCCGCCAGCAGCTGCAGCCTCGCGCCAGCCCTCCCCAGGCCCCTGGAGAGAGCGCGAGCTCAGCTCCAGATGTGCAGGAACACCCGCCAAGAGCTTTGGAATCTGTCGGGCCCCAGTCCCAGCTGACGGGGCTACTTCCTGCCGGGGAAGCAGGGAGAGGGAGTCAGCCCGGCCGCGTGACCCCCAGAGGCTGGTCTTAGCTCCCAGCCCCACCCACGGCCCAGGCCAGGGGTCCCTGGGTTCAGAGCCGAAGCCAAGGCCCGCGGAGGCTGCCCCCGGACGGTGGGGCCTTAACAGCTGACGCCCTGATCCAGGGTGAGCCAGCCCGCCTTAGGAATGCCCCTCGAGGGGCCACACTGTGGCACAGCAGGTTAAGCCGCCGCCTGCAGTGAGTGCCAGCATCCCATACGGGAGCTGCTTCAAGTCCCGGCTGCTCCACTTCTGATCCAGCTCCCTGCTAATGCACCTGGGGAAGAAGCAGAAGATGGCCCCAGTGCTTGGGCCCCTGCACCCACGTGGGAGACCTAGAAGCTGCTCCTGGCTCCTGGCTTCAGGCTGGCCCAGCCCTGGCCATTGTGGCCATTTGAGGAGTGAACCAGTGGATGGAAGACCTCTCTCTGCCTCTGCTTCTCCCTCTCTGTAACTGACTTCAAATAAAAGAGAGAAAGGCCGCCTCTTGATGAGCTGCTATGCCAGCTCCTGCTGCTGGCAGCCTGTCCATCACTGGGGCCACCTGTGGGGCTTGGGGGCCTTGTCCACCCCAAACCACAGGGCCATGGGGGTGCATGGCCAGCTCTCAGCTCCCAGCCCTGCCTGAGACTGGGACTCTTTCTTTCTTTCTATTTATTTTGACAGACAGTGAGAGACAGACAGAGAAAAGTCTTCCTTCCGTTGGTTCACCCCCAAAATGGCCGCTACGGCCAGAGCTACGCCGATCCGATCCATGTGGGTGCAGGGCCCAAGCACTTGGGCCATCCTCCACTGCCCTCCCGGGCCACAGCAGAGAGCTGGACTGGAAGAGGAGCAACCAGGACTAGAACCCAGCGCCCATATGGGGTGCCGGCGCCGCAGGCGGAGGATTAACCAAGTGAGCCACGGCGCGGGCCCCTGGGACCCTTTCTAAGGCCTGCCGTGGGCCCGCAAATACCTGCTCAGGGACCTGGGCTGTGGGGACAGTTTAGGCAGCTACCGGCCCAGGCAAACATCAGCGGCTGACCTGGCCAGGGCTGCCCAACAGTGTGCACTCAGGGGCTCCTGAGAGAGTGCCACCCACTCAGAGGGGAGACCAAGAGGCCAGCTCCACTCCTGCAGCAGGAGGCGTCCCCCGAGATGGGACGAGCGGAGGCACCCAGTCTGGGTGACAGCTGTGCGCTACTAACAGTGCCGGTGGAGGCGACAGGGGGCAGGCCTCGGCGCTGCAGAAGCCGTGGGAAGGGCAGCCTCCTGCAGCCTGGGACCCATCCGCTCTGTTGGGGTGGGGGGACAGGCCCAGGCCCAGGGCTCAGCCTGACTCCTTAGCTGGCCTAACTTCGCCTCCTGCTGCTCCAGGTCCAGGAAGATCAACTCCCAGTTCCTAGAAGCGTGGTCCTTGGGCTCAGCTCGATGGCTCATCCGAGATGTGGCTTCCTCTGGGAAGGCCTCCCCAAGCCCCCGAGCCCAGCCCCAGGGCATCCCTGCCCATTCCCGTTCCAGCCCCTCTTGCCCTGCCGGCCCTCCCACCCCAGCTCTGGGCCTGGGTCCCCAGAAGGCGTTGGCAGGGCGGTGACCTCCCCAAGACCGGAGCCAGAGGACGCAAGTCCCGGCGGCTGCCGCCCGGCTGCGGGGTGAGAGGGCAGCCCGCGGGTCAGCCCGACGGCGCAGCGCACCGCGCCTGCTAGCGGGCGGGGGCGGGGGCGGGGGCGGGGGCGGGGGCGGCGGGGCGGGCCGAGGGGCGGTGCGGCGGCGCCCGGCGGAGGCATGCGCCCTGGTCCGCCCCCCGCCCCCGGCCGCTGGGCGCAGCCAGCCGAGCGGCGAGCGCGGAGCGCGGCCGCGGCGCCGAGGACGGGAGGGAGGGAGTGGCGGCGGGGCCGGGCCGGGCCAAGCGGAGCGCGCCGGACACCGGTGGCCGCCGCCAGGATGCCCCTGCCCGCGGGCCACTCCGCCGCCAGCCACCCCCGCGGCCCCCGGCGGCCCGCGCTCGGCTCAGGGGCGCGGGAGCTGAAGCCGGAGCCGGAGGCGGGAGCAGCGAGCAGGAGCCTCGGGCGCCCGAATGCACGGTGAGCGCCGCCGGGTGGGCCGGGGTCGGCCGGGCGGGAGGGCTCGGCGGGGAGGCGCTGTCCGAGGGGCCGCGGGCTCCGCTTAGGGCGCCCCCCGCCTAACTTGGGGACCTTCAGGGTAACTTCCCTGGGGCCGGCCCCTCCCTCCGTTCCTCCGCCTCCGGGCCTTGCCGCGTCGCCCCTGGAGGCCCGCAGCGGGTGGAGGACGCGGGAGTGAGGGTCCCGGGTCCGCCCCTGCCCGTCGCGACCCGGAGGGTGCCAGGGGTCCGCGGTCTCGCAGCATCAGGCTCCCCAGGCAACCGCTCGGACGCGCCCTCGGTGTTTGGCAGAACTGGGGGGCCCAGTGGGGCCGGGCAGGCGGGGGAAGGGGATCGGGACGCGGGGGAGCCAGGACCGCCGGAGTGGGGGGTGGGGGGCGTGCCGGAGCCGCGGAAGCTCCGCGCCGCGCCTGGGCGGCGGCGGGGCCAGGGCCCTGCGAGACGGACCGGCGCAGTGGGGGCGGCAGCCGGGGGCGCAGCCGGCTGCCCGGGGACTCCTTTCAAGTTCTGGGCTCTCTTTGTTGCGCAATAGAGCCCGGGGCGGCGCGGCTCATTGGCCCGGGGCCGTGACGTCACCCCGGCCCGCCCGCAGACCCTGCGGAGTCTCCCTCCGGAGCCGGGTGTGTCCCAGGACGGTCGCACCTGCAGTCTGGTCCCCAAATGCTTCGGGATGCTTTGAGTGCGCCGCGCGAGGCGCTTGCCTGCAGGGGGCGGGGCCGGGGAGCGCAGCCTAGGGACTGGCCCCGGGTGGATGGGAGCCGCGGAGCTGCGGTCGCCGCCCCAGAGGCGGGAGAACACCCTGTCCCCCACCCGAGCATTCCTCCCCGTCACAGGACCACGGCCCCCAGGAAGGCGGGGCCCCAGCCGGGCCTGACACTGCTGCCCTGAGCTTGCAGCCGTGGGGACAGGAGCCTCGGAAAGACCTCAGCTCTGTGCGCACACACACACAAATGCCTTGTTCTGAACGTTTTGGGGCTACAGGGGCCAGGCCTGTGGGGTCAGGCGGGTGGAGGTCGAATGCTGGCTCAGGCACACCACGGCTTGGTTCTTCTCTTGGCTTCTTCTGGGTCCTCTTTAGCAGGGGGGTGACAACAGCATCCCAGACAAATCACTGGGTACATGAACAGCAGGAAGTGCGCCTGTTTGCGGGAGGGGGCCTCCTCCCTTCTCTGTGGACGGGGCACCTGGCCCTGCCCGCACACCTGCACCCTGGCACTGTTAGGCTGGGCGGAGGGAGGAGCTGGCACCGGGAAGGTTTGTGCTGGTGGTCGCCTGTGCACCTTCCTTATGACCCTGCGCCAGAAACCAATGCGTGAGCCAAGTGGGCTGGGCCAAGGCCACAGGTATCAGACAGACCTCCCAATCCGATGGCCAAGGCGGGGGTCCAGTGTGGCTCCTCAGGTGCAGGCTGAGTAGTGTCTGTAACTTCTGGGCCACAGGAATCCCCCACACCCTGCCTGCTGCAACCCCCAGCAGACTGCCAGGCACCCCGAAACCTGAATGCATGCACGGGTCTGAGACTCACCCACACCTCCCAACCGTGCGTCCTGGCCCTTGAGATGCGGCATGGCTCAGTGAGCCTCCCAAGCACTTAGTGAGCGCCTACTGCATGCTCGGCTCCCTTCTAAGCACCGTGCCTGGCGTAGCTCATTAACTCCCCACAACGCCTTCTAGGGAGGGTGCTATGCTGCCTGGGTTACACCTGAGAAGAGGAAGCCACAGGACCGCCAGGGAACTAGCCAGGGCTGGGGCCAGCAGCCCGAGTCAGTGCCTCGCCTGTGGTCTCTACCCCGAGGCCAGGGACACACCTGGGAGTGGCCGCTGGAGGCTCTGCCAGCCGCTTGTCTTCTACATGGGGATGGGGGGTAGCGAAGCCGCCCTGCAGAAGCAGGAACCTAATAAAGGTTCCGGAAGGAAGTGGTCGCAGAGGTCCCCCAGCTGGTGTCGCAGACGGGTCTCCTCTGCTGGGTCAGGGTCTGGGAGGGTCCTGGGCAGGACACTCAGATGGAGGGGACACATCCCCGAGGGATCCTTGGGTGTCCAGGGGGAGTTGGGCCACAGGAAGATCTCGCAGGAGCGTGGCTACGGCTGAGAGCTGGGAGCTCTCATGTATGGCTGCAGTGTGCAGCGGCCTCTCCATCCCCGGGGGGCCGTGTGACCGTTCGGGGGTGCAGGAGGCGCCCACAGCAGAGGGGAGAAGGGGAGAAGGGCCGCGTGTAGGCAGAGTGCATAGTGCAAGTGCCCCACGCCGCCTGCTCCAGGCTGTGGCCATCGGGACCGCCAGGGTTCTGCACAGGCAGGCGGCTGGGAGTGGGGAGGGAGGGACTTGATGCCCAGCCCTCCGGCAGGGTGGAATCCCTCCCCGCCTGGCCACGTGCCTCCTGCCAGCCTGCAGGGCCCTAGCTCACATCCACAAGCGGTCAGCAGTTCCCCTCGGGCGGATCTGGGCTCTGGGCCATCTCCAGATCCCTGCTGCCCAAGCCACCAGAGAACAATGCCGACACCACCCTGCGGCACCCACTGCGTGCAGGACCCAGGCCAGGGATTTCTCCATGGGGCATCTGTCCCCAGCCTCCCGGGGGAAGAAGTATGACAGAGGACGACAGGCAGGGCCCGTGCCTGAACGGCCCGGCTAGCATGCTAGTGGCTGCGCTGGGGTCTGGGGCGGGCCTGCCAGGGGAGGCCAGCCGGGGAAAGCTGTGACCTGGAGAGGTAGGCTGCCCCACCCCGGCCCAGGGTGCGCACTAAAGTGCTCACTGCCAGGTCAGGTCACGTGGGAAGCAGGAGACGGAGAGGAAGGTTTAGGAAGTGCGAGGAATTAAGGGAGGGGCCCCAGTGTCCCCTGCGGAGGTCTGGGTGGGCTGTGCAGGCCTGTTGGAGCTCCTGGTGGTGAGAGGCTTTGTTCTGGAGCAGGGACAGGGCACCCATGGGGCAAGAGTGCCATCTGGACCCAGCCTGGTGGCACCCTAAGGACAAAGGAGACCTGGAAGGCAGCCCAGATTCCAAGCCTTGATTAGGAGCAGGTGGAAGTGAGGGAACGTGCACTTATTGGGCACCCCTGTGTACACTCCTCTGGGTACCAGGGACATGGCAGGAGGCCCCTGGGGGTGGAGAGGAGAACAGAACAGTCGACGCCAATGGCCGCGGAGCTCCAACGCTGAGTGCCCACTGCCCTTCCCCACACAGGCGTGCGTGGTCCCCGGCACCCCTGAGCCACCGTGTGTGAGGGCTGCCGCTCCGCGCCGAGGCCTGGCTCCAAGGAGGATGCCCCGGCCGCCCGCCAGCTCCCGTTGGCACCATGAGTGACGAGCGGCGGCTGCCTGGCAGCGCGGTGGGCTGGCTGGCGTGTGGCGGCCTCTCCCTGCTGGCCAACGCCTGGGGCATCCTCAGCGTGGGCGCCAAGCAGCAGAAGTGGAAGCCACTGGAGTTCCTGCTGTGCACGCTGGCAGCCACGCACATGCTCAACGTGGCGGTGCCCATCGCCACCTACGCCGTGGTGCAGCTGCGGCGGCAGCGCCCCGACTACGAGTGGAACGAGGGCCTCTGCAAGGTCTTCGTGTCCACCTTCTATACCCTCACCCTGGCCACCTGCTTCTCCGTCACCTCCCTCTCCTACCACCGCATGTGGATGGTCCGCTGGCCTGTCAACTACAGGTGAGCACTTGCGTGGCCGTGGCCCCGTGTGAGTGCCATGCCTGTGGTGTGCCGGGGGTGGGGCTGGCCGGAGTCTGCCGGGGCGTGTGTGGCACGAGGGACATGCGACAGTGTGCACAGGCGTGTGCAAGGCCTTGCCCTGCTGGTGCTGCCTGACTAGGATGTCCTGGGACAGCTGGGCCCCCTGTGACACTGTGTCCCCCTGTCCCTCCCTGCCCATGCCAGGCTGAGCAATGCCAAGAAGCAGGCGGTGCACACGGTCATGGGCATCTGGATGGTGTCCTTCATCCTGTCGGCCCTGCCCGCCGTCGGCTGGCACGACACGAGTGAGCGCTTCTACACCCACGGCTGCCGCTTCATCGTGGCTGAGATCGGCCTGGGCTTCGGCGTCTGCTTCCTGCTGCTGGTGGGCGGCAGCGTGGCCATGGGTGTGGTCTGCACGGCCATTGCCCTCTTCCAGACGCTGGCCGTGCAGGTGGGGCGCCGGGCCGACCGCCGTGCCTTCACGGTGCCCACCATCGTGGTGGAGGACGCTCAGGGCAAGCGCCGCTCCTCCATCGACGGCTCTGAGCCTGCCAAGACCTCACTGCAGATCACCGGCCTGGTGGCCACCATCGTCATCATCTATGACTGCCTCATGGGCTTCCCTGTGCTGGTGGGTGACAGAGTCCAGCCGGGGAGCCTGGCGGGGCCCTGGGCCAGTGCCGGGACTGGACACACTGCAGCGTGTGTTGGGTGGCTGAGTCCTCAACCCCAGGCCTTTGAGAAGGGCACGAGGTTCAGAGAGAAATAATAACCTGACCAAACCAGGGCAGGGTCTCTGCCACGCTGCAGGGGTGTCTCCCCCCTCACCTGGGGCCCGACTGATACAGAGGGCGCAGAAGAGGGGGTAAGACGCCCGTGTGCTTCACGGTGGGCCCAGGTTCCAGGTTGCTGCAGATAGGTAAGGGCCACCGGATCCGGGGACAGGATGAGGTCCCGGGTGTCTGCTGGGGCATTGCACTTGGTCCTAGGACTGGGAGGGGCCCACGTGGGGAAGGCCTTGCCAGCGAGGGTCCAGGTCCCGTGATCCCCAGCAGCCTGGGAGCAGGCTGGCCTTGGTAGCCAAGCCCTCCCATCGAAGGCTCCAGCCCAGCCCCCAGAGGGTCTGGAGTGAGACACGGAGGGAGCTGGGGCCAGGACCACCCGAGAGGCCTCAGATGAGCACTTGCAGGACACCAGCTCCACGAAGGCAGCGGGGTGCAGCCCCTGCTAACCTGCTCCCCCACCCCCCAGCTTGGTGCCCCAGTGTCCCTCTGTGTCCCCAGCCCCTGTGCTGATGGAAGGAATCGCGTAACGACAGCCCCCAAGAACCACAAAGCACGGTGGGACAGAGTGGGGACAGCACGGGGAAGGGCCCCCCAGCTTCTCCTTGTTAATATAATCTTTATTTACCTATTTTTATTTGAAAAGCAGAGAGAGAGGGAGAGAGATGGTCTGTCTGCTGGTTCACTCCCCAAATGCCTGCAGTGGCTGGGGCTGGGCAGGGCTGAAACCAGAGCTCAGACCCTAATCTGGATCTCACGTGGGGGGCAGGGACCCAGCTTCTCATGCCTCCTGGGACGTGCGTCAGCAGGGAGCTGGTGTTGGGAGCGGATGAGACTAGCCCTGGGCACTGGGACACTGGATGGGGGTGTCCCAAGCTGTGTCCTAAATGCTGAGCCACATGTCCGCCCCCTGCCTGGAATCTCCACCCCACTGTCTGGAGCGGGGGCATCCCAAGCCCATGCACAAGTGACAGGGAACACAGCCCCCGGAGACTGAGCAGCGTTCCAAGGGTAGCGCAGCCGGCACTGGCAGACCACTGGGATATCAGCAGCATGTGCCCACCCCCCAGTGGTGGGGTCCTTGAGTGCCACTCTCCAGGCCCAGTGAGGGGGCCGGGGGGGGGTGTCCCTGTGTAGAGACCCACAGGCCACTGGCTGTACCCGCTGCCTCTTAAACTCCCTGGAGCTTAGACCGCTGGAGGAAGAGCGGTGCCGAGGCGGCGACTGGCCAAGGGAAGGGGCTGTGGGTGGCCTGTTCAGGTCCCTGAGCAGATTGCAGACCTGGTTCTCCCCAGGGCGAGAGCAGGTGTGCCCAGTGCTGCCCAGCACGCCGTGGAGGGCTGGGCACACACAGGGGCTGCGACTTCACCCTGGTGGCCTCCCCACTCCAGCCCCTTCCTTGCCCAGGGTCTGGGGCTCTGCCTGTCACCACCTCCTTCGGCCCCGCCCATGGTCCCCTGGGAAGAGCCGGGGCGGGGGTCCCACCGGGTGCCAGGCCACGCCCTGTGCCCGCAGGTGGTGAGCTTCAGCAGCCTGCGGGCCGACGCGGCGGCCCCCTGGATGGTGCTGTGTGTGCTGTGGTGCTCTGTGACCCAGGCCCTGCTGCTGCCCATGTTCCTCTGGGCCTGTGACCGCTACCGGGCCGACCTCAAGGCTGTCTGGGAAAAGTGTGTGGCCCTCATGGCCAACGACGAGGACGGCGACGATGGTGAGAATGGCCTGGGGTCGGCCCCTGGGGTCGGCAAAGAGCTGGAAGGTGGGGATCCCATTCCCAGCCAGCAGACACTTGAACCCAGAAGGGACCAGCCAGGTGTCCCACAGAGCAGTCTGCTGTCTGGGGTGACAGCCCCATGCCCTGGGGAGCAGGGGAGCTGTGAGCCTCACACTTCCTGCGTTCCCCAAGTTTCCCCACGCCCAGCCTGGGGGCCCCCAGCAGACTTTTTAGGAGCTCTGGTCTGCCGTCTGCAACAGCACTCCCCTGGGTGGGGGCGGGGGCCTTGCTCCGTGCTGCACCCCAAACCTGCCCCAGGGCCCACCTCCGTGTGCCAAAGGAGGACAGGCTGAGCGTGACCTCCCCCGCGGCAGTGAGGACCTGAACCCAGGACCCCGCTCCTCTCTGTGTTCAGCTAACCAGCCCTCTCCCTGTGTGTATGGGGCAGGGGGTGTCCTTGGGGCTCTCCCAGGTGCCCCAAGTCTCCGTGGCCCTGAGCCCCTGCTGCACCTCGCAGAGACCAGCCTGGAGGGAGGCGCCGCCCCGGACCTGGGATTGGAGCGCTCCGTGGACTACGGCTACGGCGGTGACTTTGTGGCCCTGGACAGGACGGCCAAGTACGAGCTGTCCGCTCTGGAGGGAGGCCTGCCCCAGCTCTGCCCCCTGCAGGAAGAGAGGATGCAGTACCTGCAGGTCGGGGCTGGCTGGGGTTGCATGGGGCGGGTGGGGCGTGACGACCTCCCTGCCTGCCCTCACGCCCACTCTAGCTCCAGGGGTGGCCGTCACCCTCCAGGAGGGACTGGCCCGAGGTCACAGCCGTGCACCCAAGCCCAGGCAAGCAGGCCAGCTCCTGCCCCTGTGTCCTCAAGAGTGGCCCACCTGGCGCCTGGACTGTGTCCTCCAGACCTGATCCCGGTTCTCCCCATCCCCGACTGACCCAGGCTACAAGAGGCCCGTGGACCAGGCTGCTCTGGCCCAAGGCCTGGTTCCTGACTCCCTGGGCAGGGGGGAGACGTCGGTCCCCGTGCCCCGGAGAGCATCTGGGGCTAAAGCCCGCCCTGTTCCTACAGGTCCCCGCCACGCGGCGCTTCTCCCACGACGACGCGGACGTGTGGGCCGCAGTCCCGCTGCCCACAGCCTTGCTGCCGCGCTGGGGCTCGGGCGAAGACCTGGCCGCCCTGGCACACCTGGTGCTGCCGCCAGCGCCCGAGCGGCGCCGCGGCAGCCTGCTGGCCTTCGCCGAGGACGCACCCCCATTCCGCCCGCGCCGCCGCTCGGCCGAGAGCCTGCTCTCCCTGCGCCCCCTGGACGGCGGCCCGCACCGCGCCCACGACTCTCCGCCCGGTAGTCCGGGCAGCCGGCGCCGCCGCCACCGCCGCCCCGGGCCCGGAGCCCGCTCCGCCTCGGCTTCGCTGCTGCCGGACGCCTTCGCCCTGACCGCCTTCGAACGCGAGCCGCAGGCGCTACGTCGCCCGCCCGCCCCGCCGGGGACCTTCCCGGCCGCGGCTGCCGCCCTGGACGGCGCGGAGCCCAGCGAGGCGCCGACGCCCCCTGGCGGCGCGGAACGGAGCCCGCGGCCGCGCCTGGCCGCGCCTGCGCACGCGGGGCCCCTGCGGACCAGCCTGAGCGCGTCGTGGGGCGAGCCCGGAGGCCTGCACGCGGCGGGCGGGGGCGGCGGCAGCACCAGCAGCTTCCTGAGCTCGCCCTCCGAGTCCTCGGGTTACGTCACGCTGCACTCGGACTCGCTGGGCTCGGCGTCCTAGGGCCATCCCAGGGGCCACAGCACCAAAGATACCACCTCCGGCCCGTGCCCCTAGCCGGGGTCAGGGGCGCGGCTCCTGCCTGCTGGCCTTGCCTGGGCTGTCCTCGGGCACGGACCCTCTCGTTGAGCGCTGTCTCTCCGGGCAGCTGACCTGGGGGCGCAGGGAGCCCTGGAACAAGGCCACCCCCAGACAACGGCCCCACCTTGGAAGGGCAGAAAGCCACAGCCCCCGGAGTGCATGAGGCTCCCCCTCCTGCCCTGCACTCGGACTGACGCACACCGCGGAAGGGTGCCCGGGGTCTCTCACCAAGCACAAGGATCTTTGGAACCCAAACAAGCTCTCCCCACAGGTCTCCCCTGTTCGGGACCTGCTCTGCCTCGGTTTCCCCATCTGTGATGAGCAGGTGGCCATGTTAACTCTCAGGGCTGTGTGACAAAGTCTCCTGGGCCCTGGCCACTGAGTGGACCTGGCAAGAGATGGTCCAAGGCCCCCGATGGGTCGTTGGGGTGGGGCTGGGGTCCATCCTCGGCGTGTGGCCCCGAGGCCTCCACTCTCAGCCTCATCCCCAAGGGAACGCGCCCTGCGCCACAGCCGAGCACAACTTCTGAGTGGTCACCTCCGGCGTCACAGCCACCTTGACCACCATTCCTTTGCCCACCCTCAGTACTGTGCCAAAGTTGCCTGTCCCCACCACCACGTCAGCCACCTCTGACTCCCACGTGAAGGTTGTGGGTACATGGTGGGGGGGGTGGGCTTGCCAGCCCCGGCCTTGCCCCCCACCTATGACGAGCCAGCCGGGAGGAGTCCCTGGCTCAGAGGCTTCCCAGGTTGCCCTGGCAAGGCCCCCCCCCATCCCACAAGGAGGAGGGATAGGGCTGTGCTCTCCATCCCCGTTAGACCCCCTGCAGGTCTTGGCCTTGGACCCTCGGTCTCCCCGACCTCAGGAGAGGCCTATGAACAGCCTCGACCTTGTGCTGGAGGCACAGGAGTGGCCTGTGTCCTGTGCTGTCTGGCCCCCAGGTGGCCAAGTCTTCCCCTCACCCTCAGAACAGGGGCACAACCCGGAAGAGGTCGCTGGAGGCAGGGGCTGAGGGGCTGTCCCACTCCGTCTCCGCCTCAGAGGCCCTCATCCGGGCCATGGGGTGCTGGAGATGAGCTGGCCACAGGTGAGCAAGGCCAGGGACTGCCGTCCAGCCCTGGCCATGGGGCTGGGGCTGCCTCCTCTGGCCAATGCTGCTGTGCCTTCAAGGACCGACATGTCATGAGGGGGCAGTGGTCACCAGCTAGCCACTGTCCCCTTCCCCAGGCTGGCCCACTTGTCACCTTGGGTTTTGACTATTTCATATCCAATGCAATACTTGCAGTGGGGACACGATTCCCCCAGAATTGCTCCCGTGCTGTTTTTACAGAAATAAAGGCGAGGACGGACCCTGGGTCTGGGACCCTCCCTCACGGTTCGTCCAGCCTCAGGCCTCTGCTGCGTTTTTAAGGAGCTTGACCTTGGGCTTGCTGGGGAGGGAACGGCTCCTAACTGCCCGGCCCGCAGCCAGGAATCCATTTGTAGGTTTGTTTTTTTTTTTTTTTTTTTTTTTTTTTTTTTTTTTTTTGACAAATGAGCATTTCTCTTCTGTACAGGATTCAATAAAAACTTCCTTATGGTTTGCACCTAGCATTCTGCACCTGGTTTCCTGGAAGCATGGGCGCTCTTCCAAATCTTACCAGCAGCACTGGCCAGCTGCCCCCCTTCCCCAGTCTCCCGTTCTGGAGCCTGCGTCGTCTCCCCGCAGGTGCTCTCGTCCCACCCAGCGAGTGAGCCCAAGCTGGAGCAGTGGGGTGGGCACCCAGGCCCACGGGCCACCCATTGGAAGAAAGGCCCTGTTAGTGCAGGAGGCAACCCTGCCCCAGGCTTGGCGACCGTGATGCAGCTGAGCGATCAGGCAGGGCCGTGGAAGCACCCAGTGCCTGCTGAGCCCTGGGTCCACCACGCCTTGGGGTCCGCAGTGAACGGCCGCCACCTGCTGGCCGGCAGAGTTGCTCCACCGGGCTGCTCCCCCCACCCGGCGCCGTGGGAAGCTGGGATCCGAAATGCCGCTGCACCCAGCCGGCGCCTGTGGTTCCACCAGGCTGCACCTAAGAAGGCACCGTACCCAACTCGGAACCTTCGCGCCGGCTTCGTATTTTATTCTGATTTACAAGCTCGCGGGCCGGCGCAGCAAAAACGACTGGGAGTCTCCCACCGCCCAAGTCCGAGTGCAGCCACGGCCTCACGGCCCGACTGGCCGTCGAGGGTCGTGCACTCCCCGGGAGCCCAAGTGGTCCAGAGGCGCGGTTTCTGCAGGCTGCGGGCCGTGGGGCGGGGGGTGTCTTCGAGAGCACGCGAGCCTCTCCCGGGTCCGCTCTCGCATAGCTCCCAGGAAACCCACCCTGCGAGGCGAGCACCGAGGGGCGGGAGGTTCCGGGGGCGGGGCCAGAGCGCAGGGCCCACTGGGGGCGGGGCAGGGGCTGGGGGAGGGGAGTGCGGAGGGCGGCGGTGCGCGCCGCGTGCTCAGGGCTTGGAGGTGGGTGGGAACCAAGAGGGTCTCAGGTGGGGGTGGGCAGGGGACCGCTCGCCGGCGGGGCGGGGCCCGGCGCGCTTTGTGCCGGTGGGAACCGGGCGCCGGCGGCCCTCTGAATGGCCCGGGGCGGGGCAGCGATTCTCCTCGCTGCGAGAGGTCCGCTCCGCGCCGCTGCGGACCGCGACCTTCCCACCGCCGTGCGGCAGGGGCGGGGGCGGGCTGCGGAGCGGGGGGCCCCTGGGAACGGGGCGCAGCCTGGGACACACCCTCGAGGTCCCCCGGAGGCTGGGAGGAGCGCGCGCGGATGCGGCTCTGCAGGAGCAGCGGGGTGCAGGGGGTGGATTCGCGCGCGGCTTCGCGGGTTTTCTCCACGGTCGCAGGCGCGGCGGGCGCGGCGCCCTCCAAACCCACCCAGCTCCAAAGCCGGAACGGGCGAGATCCAGGCAATCAACGTGGGCGCGCTCCAAACAGTCTCTTCGTCTCCAGACCAGACGGGAGCCCCCTTGAGGGCGAGGCCCGGTCTGGGCCTCACCAGGGTCGCCACACACGCAGCCCGGGCCCCGGGCTCTCAGCTCGGCCGCGTGACGCTGCCTCTGGCGCCAAGATGCTAGTGGACGAGCCGGGGAGGCCTCCGGGGAGGAGGAGCAGGGGCGGCGTGGACGTCGGGCCGCAGGCGGAGGGAGCAGGCGCCCAGACCGCCGCGGCGCACGGGCCAAGCCCCGAGGGCGCCTCTCGGCCGGGGCTGGCGCTGTCCATGGTGCTGCCGCCGGCCGCGCGCTCGGGCACCAGGGGGCAGCGTAGGCCGCCGCCGCCTTCCTCTCCGCGCCGCAGGAGCAGGCTGACGCCGGGTAGGCAGCTGCGGAAGCCCAGCGGGTACTCGGCTGCGCTGGATGCGGGCCAGAGCCCTGGGAAGAGGGGACAGACGCGGGAAATGTGGAGGGAGTGGGCCAACAGGTGCGGGGACCAGCAAGGACCGGAGAGGAGGCGACCTGAATGCCTCTTCCCGGGTCCACACCCCCAGGCGCTTTCCCACCCCAGGGCCGGCCCCGGGCTCCTTCCTGCGCCCCTTCAACCGGCCTTGCCCTATCCAGAGTTCTGATTCCACCAGCGGCCCCCGCCCCGTCCCATCCCCTCCCGGGGGGCCTCCCCCTCTACCTTGTAAGGAGCTCTGAAGGCTTTTCATGTACTTGACGCTCAACTCCAGGATGTCGGCTTTCTCCAGCTTGCGTTTGCGGATCTGAGGGTGGGTGGAAGGGCTCTCAGCCCGCCGGCTGGCGGCAGAGGGGCCGAGGCTGAGGGTCAGGCCGCTCCCCTCCCCCGTCTCACCTGGTGCGAGTAGTGTTTCTCCAGCAGCGACTTGAGCTGCTCCAGTGACACGTTGATGCGAGCCCGCCGCTTCTTCTCCATCAGCGGCTTGGAGATCTGTGGGGAGGTGGTCTTCAGGGGCAGGACTGCCACCTGCTCCCTGCCTCCCTCCCTGCCCAGGGAAGGGCTCCCACCCCGGCGCCCCTCAGGACTCCAGACCTTTCGGAAGCTGCCGGCGGGGCCACCAGGACTGCCCCGGGTGGCGGGCTCGGGGCCCATGATGCAGGAGCTGCACCAGCGGGAGGCGGCTTTGGCCTTTATAGGGGACTCTGGGACCCTCGTTTACATGTCAATGCAGCCGCGGGGGAGGGGACCGAAAGGAGGTGCCTGGGGACAGATCCCCACCTCCTCCCCTTTCCCCCTTTCTCTCACCCTCACTACTCCCCAACCATGGGGGTCCCTCCCATATCCCATCCACTCCACGGCATGTCTGGCCCACATGTTCTGGACCTCACCGCCGGTTCCACTTGCCAAGTCTCTGCAGCTCTGTCTCTGCGCATCCCAGGGCTTACTTCCTGGGGAGGGAGGTCGTGGGCCCAGCCGGCACCCGCAGCCCTAATGAGCGTGACAGAGCTCCCGGCCTCCGGGGCGCTGATGAAGATGCCTGGAACGCCTTTCTGCCTTCTTCACGCTCTGGCCATGCCCGCGACGCTGCATTAGTCGCCCTAATGTCGGGACAATGCGGCGATTTTCTGCCTGTGGCCACTCAAAGCGGGGCGCAGGCAGGGCCCGCGGGGGCCACGCAGCAACATGTGTCCCATTAAAGCGTGCAGCCCGCCCGCGCGGCCACAGCAGGGAGACCGGGAGTGCTGCAGCCCGGAGTGCCCCCTGGGCTCCTTATGCCGCGACCCACCTGACCCAGACACGTTCCAGTGGGAGACAGGTGGGGTGAGCCACACCGCCCGCCCCTGTCCCCAGCCCCGGGCTTCCAGGAGAGTTGACTCAGCTGGCGGACCCTTCCCCATAGGGGAAAAAAACTAGGATTCCACTCCCGTGAGCCTGCTTTCCATCCCACAAAAGGATGGCTGGGGTGGGGACAGTTGAGATCCCGCTAGGGGCCTCCAGCCTGCACTTTTGGGAGGTCCATTAGTCAGGCTGAGGCTGGAGACCCCGGGAGCTTTGAGCTGGGGCCTACAACAAGACTCCAGGGCAGTCCCTGGGTTCAAACAGGGCATCTCCCTTCACTGCGTTCTCCTGGCTTTTGTTTGGGGATTTGTGAAATGGGGGCTCTCTGGGGTTGGGACCCAGGCTGCTGGTGGAGCCCTCAGGGAAGTCACAAGCGTTCTGCAGCTGGCTCCCGCGGGGCCTCTTCGTGGGGGGAGGGAAGGTTTGGCTCCGAATGGACCCCCCACGCGCGCGCGCCCCAGCTCCGTGGCCGAGCCGGGGCACCCTCCCCGCCCGCCCTCGCCCGGGGTCTTGGCGGGCCTCGCGGGGCGGCCGCGTTCCCAGGCGCCGAGGAGCGTGGAGAATCGCGCCCCGCCTTCCCCCTTTCAGGCCCAGGAGCGGCCGCAGCGGTTCCGGGGCTTCCCCCTCCCCCAACCCCGCCACAGGACCCTTGTGCCAGATCCGGGCGATCGGGCCCGCATCGGGCGGCGGGGCCGAGGCCGGGCGGAGGGCGCTGGCACGCGCCGGGCAGCTTTGAAACGCCAGGGCCGGCCGGGCCGGGGCGGCCTCTGGGCGGCTTCCTCCGGGACAGGGGCGGTGGCGGCGCGGTACAAAGGCTCCGCGGGGCGGGCAGGCGGCGCGGCCGGGCACAAAGGGGGCAGCCGAGTGTTAAGGGCTTTGTGCGAGTCCCACAAAGCGGCGCCCGCGCCCGCCCCCGCGGGGCCAAACTCCGGGCGCCCCGCCGCGCGCGGGCCTCCAGCTGCCGCACAGCTGCACTGCGGCTGGGCGCGCGCCTCGCCCAGGCGGGATCCCCCGCCCCCGCGTCGGGGAGCCTTGCGGGCAGCGGGGCAATTTGTCTCTAATTACAACCCCTCCCCATAAACCGCCGCCCTGGCCTTTCAGCCCGGCGCATTAGCAAACCAATGGCCCTGCGGGCAGCTCTCGCGGCCAACAGCGGGGCGCCGGGCCCGCCCCCTCTCCAGAGTTAGGGCCGCCATAAAGGGGCCCCCGGGCCGCCCCCTGCCCGAACCCCGGTACCCACCGCTCCCGGGGCCACCACCCACCCACCCTCCGGAGTTGGTGCCTGGGGATCCCGGAAGCGCTGGGTGGGGCCGCTCACGTGGGTGGCTTAGTGTTTCTTAAGCAGTGGAAAATTGACCGCAAAATGCGCTAATTCGCAATGTTCTGCTTTGGCTGCGGGAGGCGAGCCCGCGGCGGCGGCCGCTGTGCAATCCTCAGCTCTTGCGCCGGGCCGGGGGCCACGGCTGCCCCCATCCCCACCCAGCGCGACACAGTGGCCCTTCCTTGGGCAGGGGCCTCCCCGCCAGGGCTGTCCCCTCTACTTTCCCAGCCTCGCCTTCACCCTGTGTGGCTTTCCCACCACACGCAGCCCCTCCTCTGGCCCCGTTGCCCGAAGCCCGCTGAGGGTGCTGCAGGACCCAGGCCACAGGTGCACCCCACACCCCCACCCCGGCTCTGCCATTCTTCTCCCAGCTCTGACGTTCCCTTCCTTCTGCCCTCTCCATTTCCCCGCAACTGGGGTTCCTTCCTCGGGCAGCTGCTTCCCCACTAGATAAAGCCAGATCTTTGTTGGCTGGTGCCTCGGCTCACTAGGCTAATCCTCCGCCTGCGGCGCCGGTACTCTGGGTTCTAGTCCCGGTTGGGGCACTGGTTCTGTTCCAGTTGCTCCTCTTCCAATCCAGCTCTCTGCTGTGGCCGGGGAGTGCAGTGGAGGATGGCCCAAGTGCTTGGGCCCTGCACCCACGTGGGAGACCAGGAGGAAGCACCTGGCTCCTGGCTTTGGATCGGGATAGCAGCCATTTGAGGGGTGAACCAATGGAAAAAGGAAGACCTTTCTCTCTGTCTCTCTCACTGGCTAACTCTTGCCTGTCAAAAAAAAAAAAAAAAAAAAAAAAGCAAGCCAGTATTTGCGAGGTCACTGGAAAGACACTGCTGAGTCTCCCCAGAGTCCCTTGGGGAAGCCAGACAAGGAGCTCGTGGTCCACCCCATCCTGTTCTGTTTGCCAGTCCTGCTCCTGGGCCTTCTGACCTGCATCCTCTGGGAGGCTTGCCTGGGAAGGGGGTGGAATGGAGCCATTTTCGGAGGGGGGGGGGCGCGAGGCAGCTGTCCACCCCCGTCCTCGGAGAGCACAAAGGACAGAGCTCTCTTGGGCCGCCGGGAAGGGCACGGACCAACTTAGAAACGGGGCTTATGCAAACCTGGATGTAGGCCACCGCCTCCCTGTCTATCTTTGGCACCTGGGGTCCCCAAGGCAGCAGAGAAAGGAGCACAGGTCCAGGAGGAGTGCTGGGGAGACCCAGGCGCCCCCTGCTCACTCGGGGGTGAACTTCCTTCCGCACCTCCCGAGGGCGCGCAGGGCCTCCAGGGCTGTCGGGACCCCGCTTTCTTGCACTGGAGAATTTAAGGCAAAAAGCTGTGCCCCTCGCTCCACCACCACCACCCTGCCCTGCCCTTGGTTGGTTTTCTTGACTTTGGCAAAAGAGAAAATGCACGTTAGGTCTGGGGAAGAGGTGTGTGGACCGCAGGGCGAGAGCCCCCATAGACGTCCCACTGCCTGTTGGTGGCGACAGCACGTGAGGGCACTTCGGCTGCTGCTAACCGGTGGGCCCTGTGCACACCGCATACGGACACAGTGGAGTGAAGCGATTGCGTGTAATTAACTATTGGGACACAGCAAAAGCCCCGAATCACCGCCGCCAATTGTCTCCAGATGGGGATGGAGGGTTGCGATTGTTTAACTCTCTTTAGCTGTGTTGGGATCTCCAATAGCCCAGCAGCCCAGGGCTCTTCAGGGAACAAAGGCTGGGACTCCAGCAAGTGCGTCCACGCTGACCGGCCGGCCCGGCTTGGGGAAAGTGAATTCCGAGAGACCTCCTTTGTCCCAGCCCTTTGTGTTTCTCCCCAACTGGCTCTAATCTTTAAATATTTACCCGGCCCCTTTGTCCGCGTGTGACTTATGCATTTCAGGCTGACATGCTCCTACGCCTCATTCCCTGTTTCAGGACTAGAGCGGGGGCTTCCATAGCTCCAGCCTGAGCTGGCCGCAGGCGAGGAAAGAAGACTTCTGGGAGGTTGGGATTCCTTCCTGGGGAAAGCTGCAGCCACACTGCACCCCCCAGGCAGCGGGGCCCCGGTGGGGCCGGGGCCTGTGAATGACTGGCAGCTGCGGGAGCCCCTCTCCCCTGGGAGAAGACACGCGTTTCCTGCGCTTGTCCACCCGGTCTCGGGCTCCGACGACACTTAGGGCCGGGGGCAATGTGCTCCCCAGGGGGAGGTAGCGTGTGGGCGAGTGAGTGCTTGGTTGTCCGCCCTGGCCCACCCCCATCCGTGCTCCTGTCTCCGGTTGCTCCGTGCCTTTCCTCTGCCGACCTCTGTCCTGCCCAGTACAGAGACCCCACCGAAGAGGGAGCCGGATCGCGTGTCAACCTGTGACTTGAACGACAAGGTGGTTCTTAGGACTCTTAAAAAACAAAGCTGAGGGTCCGACCCCACGTGGGCCTAACCTGCGGAGGATGGCAGGTGGGGGAGGTGGGTGGGGGAGGGGACCCTACTGCATGAGAAAGGGCTCCCTTTGTGCCATGCTCCGAGCTCCTAGAACAAAACACATTCAGGCGCTTATTTACAAGAAAGGCAGGGGCGGGCGGCGCCCAGGGCTGTGTGCCTCCCTCTTCTGATCTTTGGTTTGGTAGGTGTGTTGTCCACCCCGGGCCCACAGCGCTGGGCACCTCGCACTGCTGTCCGCTCCGGCGGGGAAGCCGGTCAGCGTGTGGGGGTCTGTGCTTGTGTTTCTGTCTGTACCTCCGGGTGAGCGTGGCCCTGCGTGTCCGTGTGAGGCCATGGCCGTGTGCGCACAGACCGACGAGTTTGCCTCTCCATCGCTGCTCTTGCAGCCTTGAGCCCGACAGAGTCAACTCCAGAGACTTCTAAGAATTCCCCTTCAGGGTCTGGCCCCACTTCCTCTCTTTCCCCCTTCTCCAAGATGAGGTAGATGAGGATGTGGGGTCTGGAGGAGGTGATGGGCAGAGGACAGAGATTGCTCAGGGTCCCTGGCCTGGCTCGCTCTAAGCTCCCGGAAGGGAGAATCCCTGAGGATAAACCCCGCTGACTGTGCCGAGAGCTTCCTGGGTAGGGTGTGGTGTCTGACCCGGAGTGACGGTGTGAGGAGCGCCCTCTGGTGTCGCTAAGTGGTGCTGGTGCAGAGGACCAGGTCCTGGTGTGCAAGGAGGCCCCGGGAAACCAGGACACTGGCCGGTAGGAGCCCGGGGCTCGGCCCCCAAGTGTGGTAACCGCCCAGGACGTCTTCACCGTTGGCACCGCGATTTGGCAACTTCGGCTTTTTTTTTTTTTTAAGGTTTACTGATTTGAAAGGCAGAGTTACAGGGAGGCAGAGGCAGAGAGAGAGAGGTCTTCCATCCACTGGTTCACTCCCCATATGGCTGCAACGGCCGGAGCTGAGCTGATCCGAAGTCAGGAGCCAGGAGCTTCCTTCAGGTCTCCCACGCGGGTGCAGGGGCCCAAGCATCTGGGCCATCTTCCACTGCTTTCCCAGGCCATAGCAGAGAGCTGGATCGGAGGTGGAGCCGCCGGGACTGGAACCGGTGCCCGTATGGGATGCTGGTGCTGCAGGCGGCGGCTCTACACGGCTTTTAAGACCTAAGTCTCCGTTCCGTTCCCGTAACTGAGTTTAGCAAATGTCCTCCAACTGGGGGCTCCCGAGAGCAGGTGTCGGTCATGACAGTGAAAGGAAGCCGGGCTCACGGCGTGACTTGCCGGCGCCACTCAGCGAGCTGCAGAGTCGGGGGCCTGCGACTGCAGCCCGGCTGTCCACCGGCCGCCGGGCCTCCCGGGGGACCTGTCCCTCATCCTGCCTCAGCCTGTCAAGCAGGCTGCCAGCCTCCCCCTCCCTCGCCCGCTCTCATTTCCAGCCGCAGCCGGCCTGTCCCGGGGGGGCCCCAAGGCCCAGCTCCAGCATCCTGCCTCCCCTCCCCGGGCTGCCGTCCACTCCAGTCCTTTCCTTTCTTGCCTGCCGAGCTCCGAGGTGGACGCATTCCTCCTTTACAAGGTGGACAGTGGTTTCTGGTGTGGGCAGTGTGGAAAGCAAAGCACGTGAAGACTATAAAACCGGCGGAGGCCAGGTGCTCCCTGTAGAGTGACCGACTCCCCCCCCCCCCCAGGTGAAGTAAGGGTCACACCTCAACTTCCTCTTTTAAAAAATTTATTTACTTGAGCCGGCGCCGCGACTCACTAGGCTAATCCTCCGCCTAGCGGCGCCGGCACACCCGGTTCTAGTCCCAGTCGGGGCGCCGGATTCTGTCCCGGTTGCCCCTCTTCCAGGCCAGCTCTCTGCTGTGGCCCGGGAGTGCAGTGGAGGATGGCCCAGGTGCTTGGGCCCTGCACCCCATGGGAGACCAGGATAAGCACCTGGCTCCTGGCTTCGGATCAGCGCGATGCGCCAGCCGCGGCGGCCACTGGAGGGTGAACCAACGGCAAAGGAAGACCTTTCTCTCTCTCTCTCTCTCTCTCTCTCTCTCACTGTCCATTCTGCCTGTCAAAAAAAAAATTATTTGAAAGGCAGTTAAGAGAGAGGTCTTCCATCTGCTGGTCCACTCCCTAAATGGCCACAACGGCCAGGGCTGGGCAGGCCAGAGCCAGGGGTCGGAGGCTTCACGCCGGTCTCCACGTGGGCGCAGGGGTCCGAGCACTTGAGCCATCCTCTGCTGCTTTCCCAGCCCACAGCGGGGAGCGGGGCCAGAAGTGGAGCAGCCGGGATTCGAACCGGCGCCCACCCGGGAAGCTGGCGCCGCAGACTGGGCCACCACCACGCTTTGTTCGCTGTGGTCCACCGCCGCCCAAGTCTTCCGCACAGGAGGCCATGTGGGCGGGGACCCCCTTGCGTTTTGGGGCGGCTTCCTGGACTTGCCCACGGCCATTGCTGCCCCGGCTCGCGGCGGGCGCTCGGGGAGGGACGGACTGGGGGCCGCAGCGTCCGGCAGCGGCGGGCGACGCGGGGCCGGCCGAGGGTGCGGTCGTCTGCAGCCGCAAAGTGTGTCTGGGGGCAGAACCCCCGCGTCCCGGCCCCGGCCGGGCGGCTCCCAGGGGCGGGGCGTTCCCGCCAACTTCGGGCCCGCCGCGCCCGGGGCGGAGTTCTCGCGAGAACTCGCGGGCGGCGCGCGGCTCTGGGCGGCTGCCCTTCCTCAGCCGGCGTCGGCGGCGCAGTGCGCAGGCGCGGCCGGCAGGTTTGCCCGGGCTACAAGCCGGCGCGGCCGCCGTCCGCCGCCCGCTCGTCCGCCGCGCTGCGCCATGGCGGGCTGCGCGGCGCGGGCTCCGCCGGGCTCCGAGGCGCGCCTCAGCCTCGCCACCTTCCTGCTGGGCGCCTCGGTGCTCGCGCTGCCGCTGCTCACGCGCGCCGGCCTGCAGGGCCGCACCGGGCTGGCGCTCTACGTGGCCGGGCTCAACGCGCTGCTGCTGCTGCTCTACCGGCCGCCGCGCTACCAGGTGCGGGCCGGGGCCGGGGCCGGGGCGCGGGCCCTTCCTCACCGGGGCCCCGCCTCCCCCGCGGCGTGCGTGTGCAGTTGCGGTTGGTGCGGTCCGCAGCTGCGGCGGAGGCGCGCGCCGCCGGCTTTTATGTAACTTCAGGTGCGGACGCTCACCTGCCGGGCGTCCCGAGGGCGCGGCCCCGCGGCTGCGAGTCCCGGGCGGGCTCCGGCGCACGCACGGGGCGCGGGGTGCGGGTGGATGGCGGCTCTTCGCCTTGCGGGGAGCCTCGCCTCGGCCCCGGGAGCCGGGCGGACGGGGCAGCCCGGGCTCGGGGAGGTGCAGGCACCCGCCCCAGGCCGCGCCGCTCAGGGATGCGGGGGCCTCGGCGCGGGTGGGCTCCGCGGGCCGGCCCCCCGGGAGGGCGCCAAGCCCGCCGGTGACCGCTGCCTCGGCTGCCTTTCAGATAGCCATCCGGGCTTGCTTCCTCGGCTTTGTGTTCGGCTGCGGCGTGCTGCTGAGTTTCAGCCAGTCCTCCTGGAATCACTTTGGCTGGTAAGGAGTACTCTGCCAAGTACCGGTTTGCAGCTGGGGGTGGCCGGGGCCGAGGAGGGGTCAGTGGCGGACAGAAAGAGTGCTGGCTGGCAGCGGCCGTCCCCCAGGGCGCCCTCACCCACCCCTGCCCGCTAGGGGACGCGGGCCCTGTGTGCCCGGACGCCGCTGGGCCGCAGCTTCCCAGCCTCTCCCGTCGCCGGCGGCTGTTGGGTCCGGCTGGCGCGTCCCCGGAGCCCCCCAGTCTGACCCGGGTTTGAGCCGTGGGTTCACGGTCTCGGGGTGCAGAGACGCCCCTCCTTGCTGGAGCGGTTTTGGGTTTGTCGGGTCTCGTGTGCCAGACTCCTGGTTAGGTTGGCGGTTCCCTCTCTCGCTTGTGCTGGGAGTGGTTATTTTAAAGCTGCTCAGGGCTCCCTGACTCGGGACGTCTCTCTTGCCTGGGACGGTCCAACACAGCCCCTGAAGACCCCGCTCGCTGCGAACCCCAGGGCAGGCTGCGCGTGGACGGCTGCTGTCCACAGAGAGGCCGGGGACCCGGAACCCCGCTGGAACTGGGGCCGCCCGAGCTCCTGCTGACCGCAGGTTCTGGTCCCATTTACTCTTTCTGTTCTCTCTCTCTTGAACTCTTCCGTGTCGCTAGGTACGTGTGTTCCCTGTCGCTGTTCCACTACTCGGAGTACTTAGTGACCGCTGTCAACAACCCCAAGAGCCTGTCCCTGGACTCCTTTCTCCTGAACCACAGCCTGGAGTACACGGTGGCCGCGCTCTCCTCCTGGATCGAGTTCACCCTGGAAAATATCTTCTGGCCAGGTGCGCGCACCCTGCTTCCTCCGGGGCGGAGGAGGGAGGCCGCGGGTGGGGGTGGGGCGGGACGGTGACATCGGGTCACCTTTCAGGTCTAATCTGCCAGCCTCTGTCCCCGCTAAGCCGTTTATAAAGGACGAGCCGGGTCTGGGCTTTGAAGGGAGGACGAGCTGACCTTTCGCTGGACACCCCGCACGTGTGCCCGGCTTCTCCCGGCTTCACACACAAGGGCGGCGAGAGTCTCCTGAGGGTTTTATTACCAAAGCCCCTCTGCCTGCGCAGCCCACCCTGAGACTGAACTTCCCCCAGCCAGTGCCGTGCGGTGCATGTTGCTCCGGGGGACGGGCCGGACACCCGGGCCCGTCTGCTCCCCCAGCTGAGCTCCAGCGTGTGGCCCCCAAGCGAAGGACCCCTGCCCCATGGGCTGTGTGCCCTGCTAAGCGGCGGTGAACAGCAGGACTTCGGGAGTGTTTTTTTTTTGTTTTTTTTTTTGTTTGTTTTTTTTTTGACAGGCAGAGTGGACAGTGAGAGAGACAAAGGTCTTCCTTTGCCGTTGGTTCACCCTCCAATGGCCGCCACGGCCGGCGCACTGCGGGCGGCGCACCGTGCTGATCCGATGGCAGGAGCCAGGTGCTTCTCCTGGTCTCCCATGGGGTGCAGGGCCCAAGCACCTGGGCCATCCTCCACTGCACTCCCTGGCCACAGCAGAGAGCTGGCCTGGAAGAGGGGCAACCGGGACAGAATCCGGTGCCCTGACTGGGACTAGAACCGGGTGTGCCGGTGCCGCTACGCGGAGGATTAGCCTAGTGAGCCGCGGTGCCGGCGGGAGTGTTTTCTTGCTCGGCTTTGGCCGGCGCTCTCCGACCTGCGTGTCTCGGGCGGCGTCCTCATGCCTGCCGTCTGCCCCGCTGCCCCGTCCTGCAGAGCTGAAGCAGATCACCTGGGTCAGCGCCACGGGGCTGCTGATGGTGGTCTTCGGAGAATGCCTGAGGAAAGCGGCCATGTTCACCGCCGGTTCCAACTTCAACCACGTGGTGCAGAATGAAAAGTCGGACACGCACACTCTGGTGACGAGCGGGGTGTACGCCTGGTTCCGGCACCCCTCCTACGTCGGGTGGTTCTACTGGAGCATCGGGACCCAGGTACCGCAGCAGGAGCGACGCTGCCGTCCTCTCAGTCTGTCGCGGCTGCATGAAGTCAGCTCGTTCTGTAGGTCAGGGTGAAAGGCTGTGCTCTGTGCCCCTTCCCTGTCTCTGTAACTCAGATCCGGAGGGCTGAGGGGAGGCGGGGCTCTGGGGAGCCAGCTCGAGCTGCCGCTCGGTGGCACAGGTGCTAATTAGGCCAAGGGCACGTGGTCGGTCACCAGAGCCACGGGGTTTGCCGCGCGCCAGGCCAGGCAGGCCTTCATTTCTCGACAGCCGGCTCTCGATGCGCTCCTGCTCCCGGCACGGCGTGGCTTGGAACTTGGAAGACCCACTCCGGGCCCCGAGGCATCCCACTGCCCACGCGGGGTCCCTGAGTCCTGGGGGCGGGGTGGGGGCACAGGAGAGGCAGACAGCCACACGGCCCTTCTTTTACGATTCCTGTCTGTGAAACCTGTGAGGTGCCCCCATTAGCAGTCCAGACAGAACGGGGATGAATGTGTAACTTGCTTCCTGCTCCCCGAAGCGCACTGGGACGAGAGAGTGTTCATGCCTCTGACCAAGCTTGCTTTCACCCTGGGCCAGCGCACTGTGCGTCCTGGAACAGTGCTTCCCCCTTACTGGATATAAAACACTGTTTTTATTTTTTTAAAGATGTATTTTGTTTGTTTGTTTATTTGAAAGGTAAAGTAGCAGAGAGGTCTTCCATCCTCTGGTTCACTCCCCGAGTGGCTGCAGTGGCTGGAGCTGAGCCAGTCCGAAGCCAGGAGCTTTCTCTGGGTCTCCCGTGTTGGTGTGGGGCCCAAGCACTTGCTTTCCCAGGTGCATTATCAGGAAGCTGGATCAGAAGTGGAGCAGTCAGGGCATGAGCCAGCGCCCACGTGGGATGCCGACACTGCAGGTGGCGGCTTTACACACTGTGCCACAGCACCAGCCCCGTATTTATTTGAAAGGCAGGGTTAGAGGGAGAAGGGCCAGCGCTGTATTGCAGTAGGTTAATCCTCCGCCTGCAGTGCCGGCATCCTGTATGGGCACCGGTTCTAGTCCCGGCTGCTCCACTTCCGATCCAGCTCTCTGCTGTGGCCTGGGAAAGCAGTAGAAGATGGCCCAGGCGCTTGGGCCCCTGCACCCACGTGGGAGACCTGAAGAAGCACCTGGCTCTTGGCTTCGTATCTCCCTGGCTCTGGCTGCTGCCGCCATTTGGGGAGTGAACCAGTGGATGGAAGATTGTTCTCTGTGTCTCTCCCTCTCACTGTCTGTAACTCTACCTCTCAAGTAAATAAAATCTTAAAAAAAAAAAAGAGACATCATTGCCGGTTCACTCCCCAAGTGGACAATGGCTGGGGCTGCAGTAGGCTGAAGACAGAGCTTCATCCGAGTCTCACGTGGCTGTAGGAACCAAGCACTTGGGTCATCTTCGGCTGCTTTCCCAGGCACGTTAGCGGGAACTGGATCAGAAACAGCAGCTGGGACTGAAACCAGTGCTCGTACGGGATGCTGGCGCTGCAGGCGGCGGCGGAACCCACGGCGCTGCACTCCGGCTCCCCCAGCTCTAACCGTTCACGGCGCTGCTCCTGACGCGCTGAGCAGATTGCCCAGCTCAGTGGTGGCTGCACAGGGGATGCCTAGAACCTGCGCAGGCTCCGAGGTCACCCTGGGCCAGTCCTGCCTCTGCCCACCGCCTGCCCTCCCTAGAGTGGTGTGCGGTCAGCAGTGCCGCCTTCAGACTCGGCCGTGAGGCTGACCGGCTGCAGGTCGTGAACGGTGTGGCACGTTGCCGGGGAGACAGGCTGTGTGCCTGGCTCTCGTGGTGGGAGTCTCCTCTTGGAGCAGACGTGCGTCCTTAGGGGACGGGGCCAGGAAGCCAGCAGTGGTTGGGAGTTTGCTGTGAGTTGCACAGGACGCTTCTGGGAGCTGAGCGTGCCGGGCCTTGAAGGGCTCTTTGTGGCTCATGGTTCTTGACAATGGGAGGCCTGGGGCCTGCGTTGGAGCACACAGCAGGTTACAGGGCCGGCCCCTTGCGACGCCGGCATCCTGTGTGAGCACTGGGTCAAGTCCTGGCTGCTCCACTTCTGATCCAGCTCCCCACTAATGCTCCTGGGGAAGCAGCAGAGGACGGCCCCCGTGCTTGGGCCCTGCACCTGCGTGGGAGACCCAGATGGACTTCTTAGCTCCTGGCTTCAGCCAGGTCTGGCCCAGCCTTGGCCATTTAGGGAGTGAACCAGCAGATGGAAGATCTCTCTGCAGCTCTGCTTTTCCAATAAATTAATAAATCTTTCAATAAAGAAAAGAAAGTGGGAGCCCCTGAGAGTAACGGCGGGAGGCAGACCACGTGGACACAGGACGTGGCCTCGGGCTGCTGCCGGAGTTGGGCAGCAGAGCCATCTGCTGGACGCCTGTGCCCACGGGGGGAGTTGAGTGCGGTGGGCGAAGCTGCGCTCCCGAAGCCCCTCGTGGGGTTTCCAGCCTCACGGCTCGTGTCTCCCGCAGGTGATGCTGTGCAACCCCATCTGTGGCGTCGTCTACGCCCTGACCGTGTGGCGCTTCTTCCGCGACCGAACGGAGGAAGAGGAGATCTCCCTGATCCACTTTTTCGGCGAGGAGTACCTGGAGTATAAGAGGAGGGTGCCCACGGGGCTGCCCTTCATACAGGGGGTGAAGGTGGAGCTATGACTGCGGGCTCAGGACCGAGGGGCCGGCTGCGTGGGCCGGATTTTCTTACTCGTTTTATATGCCACCAGTTACTCTTCTGGAACACCCCTCGAGACCAGAAGGTCAGCAGCCTCAGGACCAAACGACCCAGCGAGCAGCCCGTCCCGCGCCGATCTCGGCAGTGTTCGGCAGCGCCCTCCGGTGTGGCCCGTGAGGTCCGAGCCCCGCGCCGGGGCCGGGCGGCTGAGTGACAGCCAGGACCCCGGGGAGGCGGGCTCTCCCGGAGCGTGCATTTACTGCCTTCCCCGTAACCACACACAGCACAGCTTTAACCTCTCCTCCTGTCCTTCCGCGCCTGAGCGTCCAGACGGGTTGAAACTCCCGCATCGGGCGCTTCTGCTCTCCACGTATTTAATCACATTTATCTATCTCTCTTCTGTGAATAGCAGTGCGAATTCAGGGGGCTCCCGGCGGTCCCAGCTCCGGCGTTTATCTGGCAGCCCTAAGCCCAGGCGCCAGGTGTGGTGTGCGGCCACAGCGCCTGCTGTCCTGTTGGGGACGGTGGATGGAAGCTGTGTCGCCTTTTCCTGTACGCAGGGAGAGCTTGCCGAATGCCTGCTCTATGCGGGACGCTGGGAAATGCTGCGAGATACTGCTCTCCATTTTTTATTTCAGGTTTTATTCTCAACCGTAACTCACATATTTTGTGTCTCGGTGTAAAATCAGTTAACTATTTTCGACATTCTGTCTCAGAATCTCATCGTCCTTAACACCATTTCAGACTGTCTTTTCCAAAGGGGGCGGAGCCTGCACAGCTGCAGACTGAAGCAACTGACTGACGGCTTCGGCCCACAGAGCCGATGATGGCGGCAGCTGGGGTCCCCTCGGTGCCGCGGGCGGGGCGGGGCGGGTGGTCGGCTTCATCTGGTTCTTTCTGGACTGGACAGGAGCCTGGTCCCCCCGGGAGGTCCTCCCGAGTGCTGCCTGGCCACGTGCCACACGGCTAGTGAGGGGCCGCCACGCTCTCCCTGCTCAGACCCCATCTGTGGAGTGGGGTCGGCACCACCTACCTCACAGGGTGTTGTGAGGACCGGGCGGACAACGTCAGGTGGTTTTAGTACTCAGAGGGGATTGGTGACATCAGTGACGTCTGCACTGTGTGAGTTACCTGTGCCAGATACCTAAGCTGTGTGTTCGAGAGCGCATTTTACCAACTTGGAAATACCACTTATTTCTAGATTTCCTGGCTTAATTTCTTCATGGTTTATACCAAAGAGGTTCACGGGTTCACTGATTCTGGTGTGACGCTTGGAGTTTGAGAAGTGCGCACGCCCAGCCACGGCCCCTTAAGGCCATGCAGGGGCCTCTGGCCCTGGCGGGGTGCCGACGCACCCTCACTGTCTGGGAGCTGGAGCCAGGTCTGTTCACAGCACGCCTGGCACGCTCCGCTGGCTGGGACCGCGCGCTGCAGGTGTGGCTGGGCGTGGGAGCCAGCCCAGCTGGCACTGGTCTAAGATGGGGCCTGTGCTTGGTTCCCTTCAGTGGCCGTGTGCTTGTCTTGATGATGGCCCTGGCTGGGACACTGGGAGGCAGGGTTGGGGTTTCCCAGTGGGAGGCGGCCTCACAGCGCGGGGGCCTGGATGTTGGGGCCGGCTGTGCCGTAAAGCGGGAATCCAGCAGTACAGGTAGCGGGAGGGCGCTCCCACCCTCTGCGGCCCCGGGCCAGCTCGGCAGTTCCTTAAGGAAGACGGGGGAGCTGCTTGTGGGTGGGATTTGGCACAGTCTGGACGTCATCTGGTGCCAAGAGCGTGCACCAAACGGGCCCACAGCTGGGTGGAGCCGAGGCTCTTCCGGCGTTGGCTGTCGGGGCCGCGTGGCCGATCTTACATGAAGAAACTCCAGAGGCTTCTCCCCCTGCAGGTTGGAGTGCAGATTCTTCAGGGGGTAACAGAACAAAGCCACTTGGGAGCAGCATAAGAGGAAACCCTCCGCGAGGATCCGCAGGCCACCGCCAGTGCCGTCGTGGAGGGAGCCTCGGCGGGGCAGGGGGCCAAAGGCAGCAGACCTGCGCCCCTTCCTTGGCGTGAACTGCTAGCTGCTCTCCAGCCCCAAAAGTGCACTTTGTTCATCCCTTCCAATCATTTACCAATCTTGGGGAGGCAGCCCTGGGCCCACCGGGCCTGGGCCCTCGGCCGCGGGCTCCCGTGGTGGGCTCAGGCAGTCCCTACGTCTATCCGGCTGTGGTTTGCTCTCAGCAGTTGGGCAAGTGGGAAGCTCAGTGGCCTCGCTGTGCAGCGCTGGGTTTGGGAGCCCCCGGGGCAGGCAGCCCAGCACCTTCAGGGAGCGACTGTCCTCCTCCACACGCAGACACGCTTATTGGGTTTTTTGAATTGGCTTTTCTTTCACAGATAACTGCTCATTCTTTCCGATCCTTAATAAAGAAACAAACCCGTCCCTGACGGGCTGGGAACCACGGTGTGGCTGTGTGGCGGGAAGCTGCGAGGTGGGGAACGCAAGGCCCCTGCGGTACCTGACCAGCCAAGTCCAAGCTCACACCCGGACCGGGTTTGTAGGGAGGCTGCCGCGGGGGTCTGTGGTGGTGTGGCTGCTCTGGTGGCTGAGCTCAGAACGGAGGCCCCGCTGAAGCAGGTGGAGGGGAGGGCGGGGCTGGGCTCTGCTCCGTCCCCTGCCGTGCTGCCGCCAGGCTAACAGGGTGAAATGCTGAAAGATGAGCCTGTGACGGTGACACAGCTGTTCCCCCCCCTTCCCCTGGCAAGTGTTTGGGAGCCCCTGGCTCCGGTGGACAGCAGCGCACGCCCAAGAACTGGGCCTCAGCCACTTTTTCTTGCGGGAAGAATGGAGGGACGTGATGGAGACGCAGCCCCCCACAGAGGGAGTGAGTTCAGGCAGCAGCTGCCGCTTCATAATCCCGAGCCGGTGCCGTCTGTCCAATCGCACCTGGGGTCTGAGGGCCCTCGGGCACGGCGCTCGTCTTCAGTCGAGAGCCCTTCTGATCTAGTTCACGAACGGAGGCTCAGCCGAGGCCACGGAGCCGGGCAGCAGCAAGCTGGGACCCAGGGAGAAACGGGATCCCTGAGCTTGCTTTGTCCTCAGAGAGGCTGGGCGTCCCTGACCCAGAAATCCAAACCCAGCGCAGCACTGACGTGGTGCCACAAGTGGAAGATGCCGCACCTGGCCTCCCGGGACAGGGCACAGTCAGAACGTAAACAAGCTAGAAATACCGCATACAATCGCCTTCAGGCTCCGTGTGCACAAGGTGTGTGCGAGACACGGGAATTTTGTGTTCGGACTTGGGTCCCATGGCGTGATAACCATGTTGTAAACATGCAGATACGCCAAAACCTGAAAAAAGTTCCCAGCCCCAAACCTGGCCCCAGGCGTCTCGGATGAGGGAAGCCTGATGGGTTACTGGTTTCTGGAATCCGACGCTTGCCTGCCCTGAGGTTGGAGAGACTTTACCTGGCTGGCGTCTCCCCGTTCCTGCTGGCGTCGTACGCAGTTTGTGGATTTTCTGACTCGTCATCTGCTGATGCCTGAAACCTGGGCGAGAAAGTGTGGGTTGCTGGCAGTCGGAGGCCATGGACCCGGCCTGCGAGAGCCGCACAGAGGCGGACACTCTAAGGCCTGCCCAGCATGCACTTTTCTTTTTTTGAAATTATTTATTTATTTGAAAGATTTATAGAGAGGCAGAGGGAGTTCATCCATCTGCTGGTTCACTCCCCAAATGGCCACAACAGCCAGAGCTGTGCTGATCCAAAGTCAGGAGCCTGGAGCTTCCTCTGGGTCTCCCACGTGGGTGCAGGGGCCCAAGGACCTGGTTCACCTTCCACTGCTTTCCCAGACCACAGCAGAGAGCGTGAATGGAAGTGGAACAGCCGGGACTCGAACTGGCGCTCATATGGGATGCAACACTGCAGCCTGGGGCTTTAACCGCTACACCACAGCACGGCCCCACTCACTCTCCTTCCTTCCTCCCTTCCTATTTGAAAGAGGGCATGTGCTTCATCTGCTGGTTCACACCCCAGATGGCCACCACGGCTAGGGCGGGGCCGGACCAGAGCCAGGAGGAGCTTCCTCCGGGTCTCCCACGTGGAGACAGTCATGCTTTTGGTTCTTGAATATTTGCTGAGGTCGCATGGTTTGCAGAGGGCGGTGGGGCAGGGCTGTGGGTGGAGGAGGGGGCCTCAGAAATGAGAACATGTGGGAGAAGAGGTGGACACGAGGGGGCTGAGCCAGGAGGTTGCTGTGGCCAAACCAGAGCAGGTGGGTGGGGTCCGAAGCCTGGCTGACGTCGGCTGAGGCAGCCACAGCTGACACCCGGAGAGGAGCAGAGACGTCCTCCCTCCCCACCCCCTGACCGGGCATTCAGCCCCACCCTGAGCTCCTTTTCTGCTTGCTGAAGCCGACCCTGCAGAGTGGCCCTGCCTGCCGGGTGCCCTTGCCCTGTGGGCAGGAAGGGGTGGAAACAGGAGTGTAGTGGCCACAGGCGCATTCACACTGCAAGCCTGCGTCACGCCCGACTCCTGTGGCCGCTGCGTGGTCAGCACCCGGCACCCAGCACAGGGCTCCCCGCCAAGGCCCAGCATGGCCGCCGGCGACTGCTGGCCCCAGAAGCTAGTTCCGCGTGTGGCTGAGCGTGGACTCACACAGTGTCTGGTATCGACGATTTTGAGATACAGCAGCCAGTCCAGGGCAGGTGGGGGCTTAATTTTAGTATGTGCAGTGTGCTGCGTTGAACCTCTAGTGTAATGCGTGTGAAGTCACTAAAGAGGAACTGGGCCAGGGCAGCTGTGCACACAGGCACACGTGTGTGCTATTTTCAAGATTTACTTGTTTATTGGAAAGGCGGAGTTAACAGAGAGAGACCTTCCATCCACAGTTCACGTCTCAAATGGCCACAACAGGGGCTGGTGTTGTGGGGTAGTAGGTTAAGCATCTGCCTGCAGTGCTGGTGTCCTGAGTGGGAGCTGGTTCGAGTCCCGGCTGCTCCACTTCAGATCCAGCTCCCTGGTGATGGTCTGGGGAAGCAGTGGAAGATGGCCCAAATCCTTGGGCCCCTGCACCCACGTCAGAGACATGGAGGGAGCTCCTGGCTCCCAGCTCCAGCTGTTGTGGCCATCTGGGGAGTGAACCAGTTGATGAAAGATTCCCCCCTCTTCTTTCCCTCTGTAACTCTGCCTCTCAAGTAAATAAATCTTTTTGAAGCCAGAGTTGCAGAGAGAGAGAGGTCTTCCATCCGATTGTCCACTCCCCAGTTGGCCGCGATGGCCGGAGCTGTGCCGACCTGAAGCCAGGAGTCAGGAGCTTCCTCCAGGTCTCCCACGCAGGTGCAGGGGCCCAAGGACTTGGGCCATCCTCTACTGCTTTCCCAGACCATCACCAGGGAGCTGGATCTGAAGTGGAGCAGCCAGGTCTGGAACCGGTGCCCATATGGAATGTCAGCGCTTCAGGCCAGGGCATTAACCCACTGTGCCACAGCGGCAGCCGATAAATAAATCTTAAAAAAAAAAAAGGAAAAGGAAAATGGCCACAACGGCCAGAGCTGGACCAATCCGAAGCCACAGCCAGGAGTCTCTTGTTCTTCCACATGGGTGCAGGGACCCAAATACTCCAGTCATCTCCCACTGCTCTCCCAGGAGCATTAGTAAAAAGCTGGATCAGAAGTGGAGCAGCCGGGACTCAAACCGGTGCCCACACGGGATGCGGCTTCACCTGCTGCGCTGCAGCGCCAGCCCCATGTGCCCTCTTACTTTCCTCTTCCCCAGACTCGCAACGCTAGTAAAGGGACTAGAACAAGGAGGAGGGGACCAGCTGCCTACGATGCCAGCATCCCATACGAGTCCCAGCTGCGCTGCTCCCAATCCAGCTCCCTGCTGACGGCCTAGGAAAGCAGCAGCAGACGGCCAAGCGCTGTGTCCCTGCCACCCATACGGGAGACCTGGATGGAGTCCTGGTTCTCTGCTTCAGCCTGTCCCAGCTGTGGCTGTTACGGACATTTCCGGAGTAAACGAGCGGATGAGAGATCTCTCTGTCTCTCCGTCTCTGACATTCTCTGTTTTTCAAATAAAATGGAAAATAAAAAAAAGATCCCTGTCTCTGAGTCGCTGCCTGCTGCCCACCGTGGCAGAAGGTTGAAGGGTTAGTTCTGAGAGGCACGCAGTTGAGGACGGCTCACAAATTATCCATATAGAGGCTTTCCACGCAGGAAGCTCGAGAAGGATCTAGAACCCACCGGGGCCTTCCAGCTCCTGGCCACTATGTGCAAACCATCTGGTCAAGGATTACCTCGATGCAGCCGCTGTGGAAGAAACCTGAGCACACAGAGGAAATGCTTCAGGGAGAAAGCTTCCAGGAGAGGGGCTGGCACTGAGGTGCAGTTAAGCCACCACCTGTGGCACCGGCATCCCGTGTGGGCGCCAGTAGGAGTCCCGGCTGCTCCACTTCCGATCCAGCTCCCTGCTGATGTGCCCGGGAAAGCAGCAAAGGATGGCCCAAGTCCTTCGGCCCCTGCAGCCACATGGGAGACCCAGAGGAAGCTCCTGGCTCCTGGCTTCAGTCTTGCCCAGTCCTGGCCGTTGCGGCCATCTGGAGAGTGAACCAGCAGATGGTAGCTCTGTCTCTCCCTCTCTCTCTCTCTCTCTAACTCTGCATTTAAATGAGTAAGTCTTGGGGGAAAAAAAAACTTCCAAAAATAAAAAAACACAACAGGACCCTTCTCAGTGTGTCCATAACCCAACAGGATGTTGTAAGAAAGAACAGGACACCAAAAAAAGTGCCTGGAAGTGGAACACAAGGTAGCAGAAAGGAACAAAGCCACGGGAATGCCAGAGGATAAAGAGGTGACCTCCAGGAAAGAGAAGCAAAGCAGAACAGAAGATAAGTTGGGCGGCCAGCCCGGGAGGATGGGGACCCAAAAAAGTGAACCGAAAGACGCTGACTTGCGTGTTGATAGGACCCACCAGCATCCAACCTGGTGGACGGACGGCATCCTCATGGTGTGAGATTTCAGAGCTCTGAGAGCAAACCGAATCCACCGGCTTCCACCGGGAGCAGGAAGGTGCCGAGACGAGGACCAGCCCCGTCACCAGCAGCCTGGGAAGCTCGCAAGCAGTGGCGATGCCCTGCGATGGGGAGTCGGCCCCAGGGGAGCTCTCGGTGGAGGACGAGGGAGTTTGCACACCAGTGCGGCCCCAGACACATCCCTTCCTCACACCGCTGGGGGACGGGCACCACCCAGACGGGCGACGCTGCCGTCCCTCCGCCACTCGACTCCTGTTGCTCCTGACTCTGCCGCTGAGAGGGCCTGGTCCAGCCCAGGCGTGTCTTGACCACACACGCGCCGATGGCCACGTGCTGCTCCCGCCTCCATGTCCCGCTGCCGGGGCCAGCTGAGGGCCCCCCGGCTGCCTTCCAGGAGCAGAAGTGTGGTGCCGTGGTGCCGTGGTGACGATGCCGGCGGGGAAGACCAGAGCCCGTATCAGAGTCCCAGCTCTGTGCCAATTCTATCTTTCTGCTAATGGGCACCTGGGAGGAGGCAGGCGCTGGCTCAGGCAGTAGGGTCCCTACCAGCCACCTGGGAGACCTGGGTGGAGTGCACGGCGCCTGTCTTTGGCCTGGCCCAGCCCCAGCATTCGTGAGCATTGGGGAGCAGGCCAGTGGATTCGGGATGGGAGTGCTCACTCTCCCCCTGCCTTTCAAATAAATAAGATACAGATTTTTAAAACTTCTGAACTAGTTAGTCTTTAAAAATGGAGAAGATAAACTGCCTTGGAGCTACCACTGAGATCCAGAGGCAGGCCGGAAGCAGAGCCCGCCTGCAGGTGCCCAGCCCCCACCGCCCCTCCAGACGCCCTGACTGTCCCCTCGTGGCTGGCCACACGCATGCCAAGGGGCGCAGTGGCCCCGGGACCCCCTCACCTGGGCTCCAGCCGCTCCTTCACCTTGGCGATGGAGCGGACGTAGGGCGTGATGTGCTTGGTGATGGTGGTCAGGTGGGCGTTCTCCTGCTTCAGCTGGAAGAGGTCACGCAGCTGCGCTGTGGGGGCCGAGACCACAAGGTTGGGCCTTGCTGGCCTCCGTCCTTGCCCTCGGGCCCACACTGTGGGAAGATCTCGCTGTGCCCGTGACCGCCTGCCCCTGGGTGAGGGCGTTCTGCTCCCGGGATCCTGACCGCGCTGCATCCTTGGGGCCGGTTAGCCACTGTGAGGCTGTGCCCAGTGCTAAGGGGCGGGGGTGCAGGTTTGTGTCGGGTTAGTGACCGGCATGTGGGTTAGCTCTGCTGGGACCTTCATAGATTTCCTGCTCGCCGGCCAGCCGCTGGTAGGATTCCTCCCAGATCTGAAAGAGAAAGTCGGGGTTTCTGTCTGAGAGCCACACGGCAGCCCCAGGCAGGTCCACGTGGGTCCGGCGGCCTGCCCCTTCCCGTCCCCTGGTCCCCTGGGAAGGGCTACCTCCTGGAAGACCGCTCTCATGCCCTCCACGGAGGCGTACTCCGAGTCGATCTGCGCGTCCAGCCGCAGGGACCTGTGCAGGATGTCGGCCATAATCTCAGCTCTGATGAGCGAGTGGTGCTTGGTGAGGTCGCGGTGCAACTCCTGTACCTGGTCCTTCAGGTTCTGCACCTCCGCCTGCAGACCCTGCGCCCAGGGGCCGCCCAGGGCCGTGCGGTTACTGCAGGGGCTCTGGGGCGGATGCAGGAGTGGGCCTCTCCCGCCCGCAGGTGCCCGTGCCCTCACCCGGTAGGAGTCCTCGTAGTGGCGGCAGTGCTCCGCGAAGGGCGTGTCCTCGCCGTCAGCCAGCAGCACCTTGGTGCTTATGGACCGGGGCAGCGTGGGCTTTTGGACTGGTGACCGGGACACCTTTCTCACGGGGGAGGGGCAGCTGGGTCCCATGAGCACCTTGGGGCCTGAGCCCCCTGCCAGCCTGGAGAGACAGCCAGTGTGGCTGCGGCAAGGGGTGGGGGTCGGAGGGATTGGGAGGGTCTTCCCCTTCCTCCAGCCTCCCAGGGCCGCCCCCTCAACCCAGCTCTGGGGCAGAACCACGTGGAGCTCTGAGAGCCAGACGGGAGGCCACACACAAGGACAGCCAGGTGGCTGTGTCTTAAACCCCCTGCAGTCTCCAGTTTGCCGCCAAGGGCAAGTACATCGGGGTGCCACCGGGGCTGGCCCCACTTGCTGGCTTCAGCCTTTCTCCAGACTCTGGGAGTCAGATTCCCGGCGGCTTCAGCTACTTCGGCGGCAGCATCGGGCCCAGCCTTAGGCATCCCAGACTGGGGGGTGGGGCGGCTGCGGCCATGGTTAGGGGCAGCCCGAGTCCCCCTCCTACCCTGACCGAGCGCTCGGCGTCCCCGACGGCTGTTCCCAGTCCCCGCGGTTTCGCCTAGCAGCTGGCGGTCGCCCGCGCGGCGAGCACGGGACGGCGGAGGAAAGGGAGGTGCGGCCTCCCCAGGACCATCAGTCCACCGGGTGCCCGCCCGCCCGCCGGGTCGGGGTTCCTGCGCCCGCCCGCCCGCTCCCTCCGTCTCTGCTTACGTATTGGCGCCACCCTGCGCGCCCGTGGCTCTGCGCGGCCCCAGCAGCAGCAGCGGCTCCAGGCAGCGCGCGAACTCGGCGCGGTAGTCGCTGGCGATCTGGGCGGCGGGACGCGGTGGTGAGGCGGCTCCCTGGCCCGCGGGCGGCCCGACCCCGGCCCACCCGGCCGCCCACCCGGCCGCCCGCGCACCTTGCTGCTCTGCGCCGGCCTTAGGCGGTGTGGCCGCGTGACCACACGCTGCAGCCTCTCCATCAGCTCCTGTGGCCGAGGGCGCAGACCCGTGAGGGAGGTGGCATGGGGGAGGGGCAGGAAGAGGGCAGTGGCGGCCAGGAGGCCCCGGAGCAAGTCTGTCCTTGGCGTGTTACCTGGTGTCCCTTGGCAGTTCCAGCCCTTCGCTGGGACTCCAGTGGGCAAACCCGTCCCCACCCCCATCTACGGGGCGGAGAGCGGGACTGCAGCCCACTGTCCCTTGGAGGGCGCGGAGAGCTTGAGGCTTCAGGGTCCTTACTAGGACACCCCTGGCCCCCAAAAGGATTGCAGATGCTGGGGTGGGGGAGGGGAATGGATCTCAGCCTGGAGGTGGCAGCTTGTCCGTTGGGGTGGGCCCTCGTGGGAAGGGGGAGACCCGCAGGAGCCCGGGCGACTCACATAACCCAGGTCCAGGAACTCAGCCTTGTTGGCCAAGCTGAGGAAGGAGGAGCAGATGACCAGGTGGATCTGTGGGAGGGGACACTGCTCAGCGCCTGGCCAGGGGAGCGAGGGCCCTGTGGGCCGGGGCCTGGCCCTGCTCCTGCAGCTCGCCTTACCTGCAGGGTGGGCAGCAGGGTGGCCAAGTGGGAGAGCTGCTCCTTGAAGGCCTGGTCCTTCTCCTCGTATTGGCTGGGGAGGGGCGGGCTGCCTGGTCACCAAGGGGAGGATTGCCCACCCCACCCATGGGGGCCTCGGGACGGGGCAGTCCCCCTGCGCCCTGAGCCACCTGCCCTCCCCAGCTGCTGGACACCTGGGGGTCTTGCTCTGCAGGGTGGGCGTGGCCTGCCCAGCAGGGGCTGTGAGCTTTGCAGGGAGGGAGCCCCGCCAGCACTCACCTCTGCACAGCCTGTAGCAACAATGCTTTCCTCTCCGCCAGTTTCTCCTGGGAGAGACGCGGCTGCTGACCACGTGGGCAGCCCTGCCACCGTTCCAGCCCTGCCACTGTCCCACGACCGATGCCCGGGCCCCAGGCAGTGCTGGTCAGGCTGAGTATCTAACCCGGCCGGCAGCCACAGGCCTGCATCCCATGCCCGGGAGCTCAGGCACCTTCACCTGAAATGTCACCTCCCGGGTGCCGGCTTCCTGCCCTGTCCCCCAGCGGCGAGGCTCACTCCCAGGAAGAGGGTGGCTCCACGCCTGCCGCCCTGCCGCAAGCGCACCTGCCCGGCTGTTGCGGCTGCGGGAGGGACGCGGGACGCCCCGCCCCGCCCCTCTCCCCGTCTGTCCCAGCGCCCACCTGCACGCTGTCGAAGAGCGCGTGGATGGCGGCCGCCTCCTCCTCCGCGCTGCGCCGCACCTCCTCCACCATGGCCTGCAGCAGCGCGATGGCCTCCCGCGTGGCCGCCTGCAGCGCTTTCACGGCCTGGGGATGGGGCAGCCTCAGCCTGGGGGGCTGAGGTCCCGCACCCCCGCGCCCGCGCCCCGCGGACCCGGAGCTCACCAGCACCGCCTGCTCCAGCCGCTCACAGCCCTGCACGTAGGCCGACTCCAGGTCGACGCAATGGGCTCTGCTCTCCCTGCGGGGCGGCTGCGGGTGAGGCCGGGCGGGTAGAGGGCGCCCTCGAGCCCCCTCCCCTCTCGCCCCCCGCCCCGCACCGACCCCTGCAAGTCCCGGAAGCAGCGGATGCACAGCAGCGATTTCTTGTCGGTGGAGAACATGAGGTAGGGCTCGGCGTGCAGCGCTGTGGCGGGCGGGGGACGGTGGTGAGGGCTCTGGCTCCGCCCGGCCCCCGCCACACCCCCAGCCGGGCCCCGCGCTCACGGCACTTCTGGAGCACGTCGCGGCTGCGCTGGCCCAGGGCCACGATGTCGTGGCGCGCGAACATGCGCGCCCGGTGCGTCTCGTCGCGGCAGCGCGCGCACAGGGGCTGCCCGCACGTGTTGCAGAAGCACGCGGTCTCCGCGTCCTGCTGGCAGAGCGCAGGCTCAGACACCGCAGCCCCACGGCGGCCAGCGCGGGGACCACGGCCGCGCCCCTCCGGGGTGGTGCAGGCGGGGCAAACACAGAGAAAGCCCTTGGCCGCCCCGTCCCACCATGGCGGGCTTGGGACGGAGTCCCGCCTGTCCTCGGGATCCAGCTCCCTGATGATGGCCTGGGAAGCAACAGAGGGCGTTCCTGCCACCCACACGAGGACCCGGATGGAGTTGCCTGGCCCAGCTTTGCTGTTGTGGCCATTTGGGATTTGGGGGCGTGATCTTGCCGATGGAAGGTTCTCTCTCTCTCCTCTCTCCTCTCTCCTCTCTCCCTCTCTCTGACTTTCAAACATTTTGTCTACAACAAAAGCTGTCCTGTGTTGTGGAAACCTGCTTCACTAGTGGCCAAATGGGGATGCTCCCCCTGGCCTCATCCTGGCCTCATCCTGGCCTCGTCCTGGCCATCGCCCTGGCCATCTGGAATCACGGCTCAGCTGGGCAGGGGAACGGCGGGCGGTGAGGGCTTGACCTTTCCCCGTCCCAGACCCAGGGTCAAGAGTCGGGGGCTTGGGTCACAGCCTTGGCAGTGACCCTTGCAGGGGTGTGGCAGAACGACCAGCACGTCCTTACCTTGGCGTTCAAGGCCACTTCCTCAGGGCTTTCCCTGCCCCCAGTCCCTCGCCTCCTGCTGCTCCTCTCTGTACTGCTGGGCACACGTTCCTCAGCACCTGCCCCGCTTTTGCTCCTGCAGGCTCCATCTCTGGCCAGAGGCCCCCAGAGCCCTCCCCAGCCGTCCCAGAGCCTGGCCTCTGGCTCCCTCCCAACACCATGCTGTCCTCATTTCCCCTGGGGCGGCGGCTGCCCACTGCTACTTCGGTAGCACAGGGCCCTCAGCGGTCAGCTCAGGCCTTTGAGCCGGATGGCACTGCCACTGCTGATGGACAACTCCACTCTGAGCTGCAGGCAGTGAGCTCCGCCGGACAGAGTGGTCACCACGGAGCTGGACTTCAGTCTCCCCCCTGCATAATGGGGCCCACGTTTGGCATCCAGGCTGCCGCAGGGAGGCCTTGGACAATCCACTGCCAGACTCGCCTCTGAGGATGCGCCAGGGCGCCCACCGTGCAGCCCGGCTCCCCTGGCTCCCACCCCGCTCCCGGCCGCCCCTGCCTGCTTGCTGCAGTCCAGGTCACAGTTGGCACAGTGCACGGCCTCCACGCCATCCCCGGAGCTGTCCACCAGGAACTGCAGCAGCCGGTCCACCGGCGGGAGCCCGCTCGGCCCCTTCACCACGGTCTGGTGTCTGCGGAGAGGCAGCCCCAGGCACCCTGTCCAAGAGGCCCCCACCCCCACCCCGCCCTTCACATTCCAGGCTGCAGCTAAAAATAATGGTGCCAGGAGGTGGGGTGCACTGCAGGCCTGGGGGCTGCTATTAATAACGCAGCCAAGGCTGATACTCACCCTGCACTGACCAAGCCCTTGCTCAGTACTGGGCAACCCTGTGCAGCTGTGGGCTCACTGTAGGGTGTCCAAAGCAGCAGCCCCCCCCAAACACCTTCTCACTGCATGGGGCAAATTTAAGGCCACCCCAAAAGTAATGTTAACTCAAGACTTCTGAGACACCCCCCCAGCCAGTAACTGTCCTGACCCCTCCGGTGCCCCACCCTTGCCCCCTGAAGGCCTTAGGCCAAGATCCTTTCTCCAGGCCATAGTTGATGGGATCTGTGAAATGGGTCCCCGGCGGGGAGAGCTGCAGGGACTGGGTGCCGCCTCTCCCAGCAGCAGTAGCTGCCTGGAATCCGAGTCTCATCCTACCCACGCCTGGAGTCGCATCTGCCCGGGGCGGAGCCAACCTCGGCCAGGCGCCCTGGGGCAAGCAGTGGCCTGTTGGGGCTTTGGGGCACTCACTGGCACAGCGGGCAGGCGACGCGGCCGTCGGCGGTGCGGCCACGCAGGCAGCCCGCGCAGAAGTCGTGGAAGCAGTCCAGCAGGCACGGGCGCTCGTACTGCGCGTGGCACAGCGGGCACACGAGCGGATGGCCGCTCGCGGCATCCAGGGCGCCCGGCCCCTCCAGGGGCGCGAAGATAGCGCCCGACATCCGCGGGCTCCGCGCAGAGCGCAGCGGCGGCGCGCGGCTCGGGGGCCCTCCGCGGGGACGCCGGCGCCCTCCTACCTGCCCGGCCTGGACCCGACAGGACGTCCGGAGGCTGTGGAGCGGGAAGCCGCCGGGGCCCGGGCTGGGAGGACCGGCAGGGACCGGCGAGGGCCCGGAGCTGAGCGCCCTCCGAGCCTCGCCGCGCCGTGCAGCGCTGCCGCGGGCGCCGACTCCTAAAGGTCAGGCGGGACGGGCGACGCTTCCCCGGCTTCTCCCACAGCCGCGACTCCCCGCCCCGCGTCCTCTGGGTGACCCGCAGGCGACGCCCCCTCCCGGGGTGGCTGCTGCCTTGCGGCGCGGAGCGGCCTGAACACAGCTCCGGCCCCTTCGCCCCTGCCATAGAAGAGGAGCGCGGACACCGTGTTTGGGGACATCGGTGTCAGGCGAGGGCTGGACCCTGCCCGAAATGACTGAGCCTGGAGCCCTGCAGGAGCACCCTTGGTGCGGGGTCTCTAGGCACCGCCCCCCACCCCGGGCCACACTCTCCCACTGGGCTGGGGTCCCACCAGAGTGGGTCCCTGGCTCGTGCAAGGGCAGCGCTGGGCGGGAGTAGAGGAGGCGGAGCGAGAGGCTCGGGGATCCCAGGCCTGCAGTGGGGGTGGGGGGGCGACGCTGCACCAAGCGAGCAACTCTGGGGCCTCCGCGCAGGTGTAACAGGCCCGCCTCCCCACAGTGGGGCCAGCCTTCCGGGAACAACTCAGGCAGGTGTTTAGGGGACTTCCAGACGCTCAAGGCCCCAGTCCGGGGCCATCTGAGTTCCCCGAAGGGGAGGCGCTGTGCTTTCCCAGCAGGGCCCCCGCTGCCATTCCAGGCTGGGCAAATGCTGAATTCCTCCAGCGGTGGTGCGCTCTCCCTACCCACGCAGCCACTGCTTCCGCCCCTCCTGCAGTCGGACTCAAGCCCGAAGCCTGACCCACAGAGAATGCTCAATGAGGGCTGAGCCGATGGCCGGGGAAAACCAGGAGACAACATGGGAGCAGGGTCTTCAAGGATGAGGAGTTTTCCACTAGTGAGTCCTAGGCGGAAACCACTTGTTCTCCTTGTATTTACCAAAGGCAGACACACACAGGCACACACACACACACACACGCACACACAGGCACACCCACATGCACACACAGATGTCTCCCATCTGCTGGTTCACACCCCCCACCCCCACCGATGCCCACAACAGCTGAGGCTGGGCCCTGGCTGGAAACCAGGATCTAGGAACTCAATCTAGACCTTCCATCTAGGTGGCAGGGACCCAGTTACTTCAGCCATCGCTATCTGCCTCCCAGGGCATCCGGTAGCAGGAAGCAAGAATTGGGTGCAGGGGCCTGCACTGTGGTGTAGCAGGCTAAGCCTCCGTCTTTGGCACCAACATCCCATATGGGTGCCGGTTCAAGTCCTGCTGCTCCACTTTTTTTTTTTTTTTTTTTTTTTACAGGCAGAGTGGACAGTGAGAGAGAGAAAGGTCTTCCTTTGCCGTTGGTTCACCCTCCAATGGCTGCCGCTGGCGCGCTGTGGCTGGCGCACCGCGCTGATCCGAAGGCAGGAACCAGGTGCTTCTCCTGGTCTCCCATGGGGTGCAGGGCCCAAGCACTTGGGCCATCCTCCACTGCACTCCCGGGCCACAGCAGAGAGCTGGCCTGGAAGAGGGGCAACCGGGACAGAATCCAGCGCCCCAACCGGGACTAGAACCCAGTGTGCTGGCGCTGCAGGTGGAGGATTAGCCTAGTGAGCCGCGGCACCAGCTGCTGCTCCACTTCTGATCCAGCTCTCAGCTGTGGCCTGGGAAAGCAGTAGAAGATGGCCCAAGTGCTTGGACCCCAGCACCCACATGGAAGACCCAGAAGCTACTCCTGGCTCCTGGCTCCTGGCTCCTGGTTTTGGTCTGGCCCTGCCCTGGCTGGTGTAGCCATTTGGGCAGTGAACCAGCGGATGGAAAATCTCTCTTTCCCTTTCTCTCTGTAACTCTGTCTTTCAAATAAACAAAATAAAATCTTTATATAAAAAAGAAATAAGTATACAGTAAACACAGCAGCATCCCAGTGCTCTGGAGACAGAAAGGAGAATGAGCTGGGGAACAGCTGGGAGGTGCAGGGCTGAGGTCACCCTAGAGAACCACAGCAGAGAGGGCCTGAACCTGGGCCCCTGGAGGGTGAGGAGAAGAAAAGCCAGGGAAAGTCCCAAGCAGGGGGAATCCAAAGTGCAAAGTCCAGAAGCTGGACCATACTTGGAGAAAAAAAAAAAGACATACAGGGTGGGGGTGGGGTCAGAGTTGGGGTGTGATGGGTTAAGCCGCCACCTGCAATGCTCCACTTCTGATCCAGCCCCCTGCTAATGCACCTGGGAAAGCAGTAGAAGAAGGTCCAAGTGCTTGGGCCCCTGCACCCAGCTGGGAGATCTGGATGAAGCTCCTGGCTCCTGGCCAAGCCCTGGCCATTTTAGCCATTTGGGGAGTGAACCAGCAGGTGGAACATCTCTCTCTCTCTCTCAACTCTAGCTTTCAAACAAGTAAAATAAATCTTAAAGACACGCAGATAGAGAAGAAGGGGCGCTGGGTGGAGTGAGGGGCTAGGAATGGGGACAGGGTTGAGGATGCAGGGTGGTCCACTGGAGACATCAGGCCGTACTGGATTAGAGCTGTCAAGGGCGCCATGGGCTGCAGCAGGCAGGAGTCTGTTTGAGGGGCGCCGCACACCTATGCTGGGGGTTACCCCTAGAGGTAAGGGCCTGGGTTATGTCCATAAGGGTGAGCAGAGCCGGGTGTGCCACAGCTGAGGGCTCAAGCAAGGCAGTGGAGGAGTAGCCAGCACGCAGGGATGAGAACCAGGAGAGCTGCCTGGCAAGGAGGGTGGGCCCACGGGGCCCCGTGCTGCTCAGAGGTGCAGGAGAGCAGAGAGACGGCTCGAATCGGTCACTTAGGAGAATGTTTTAGGAGTGCTGGGAGCCCTGAGGAATCTTAAGAGGCTAAGTTAGAGAGACAGAGAGGGAGAGACAGAGACAGAGAAAGGTCTTCCATCCGCTGGTTCACTCCCCAAATGGCTGCAATGGCTGGAGCTGGGATGATCCGAAGCCAGGAGCCAGGAGCTTCTTCAAGGTCTCCCACGTGGGTGCAGGGGCTCAAGCACTTGGGCCACCTTCTTCTGCTTCCCCAGGCCATAGCAGAGAACTGGATTGGAAGTGGAGCAGCCGGGACTAGAACCGGCGCCCATATGGGACAGCGACTTCACCCGCTGCACCACAGTGCCGGACCCAGCCCTGAGGGCTCTCCCAGGGTCAGGAGCGCCATCCAGGGTCTATCTATCAGGAGACTCCGCACTATACAAGCTCTTCACTTACAATGCGATCACATCCCATGAACTCATTGTAAAACTGGAAATATTTTGTGAGAAATATATGCTAGCCGGCACCGCGGCTCACTAGGCTAATCCTCCGCCTAGCGGCGCCGGCACACCAGGTTCTAGTCCTGGTCGGGGCACCGGATTCTGTCCCGGTTGCCCCTCTTCCAGGCCAGCTCTCTGCTGTGGCCAGGGAGTGCAGTGGAGGATGACCCAGGTGCTTGGGCCCTGCACCCCATGGGAGACCAGGAGAAGCACCTGGCTCCTGGCTCCTGCCATCGGATCAGCACGGTGCGCCGGCCACAGCGCGCCGGCCGCGGCGGCCATTGGAGGGTGAACCAACGGCAAAAGGAAGACCTTTCTCTCTGTCTCTCTCTCTCTCACTGTCCACTCTGCCTGTCCAAAAAAAAAAATATATGCTTAGCATAACTCCAGAGAGAAGGCCGTGGGCGCCAAGGCCATGGAAGCTGTGGGGTTCTTGTCATCACCCAAGAAAGGACTCAGGCGTGAGACAGAGAGCAGGGTGATGCGGCCTTATTGGGGACAGGGCATCGGGCAGAATGGAAGGGACAGAGAGAGCGCCCAGTCGCTGGGACTGGGGAGAGCGAGGTTCCATGGTCGAGTGGGCAGAACACACCTGGGCAGGCCAGGCGGGGGCTCAGCAGCGAGCGGAGCTGAGTGCGGTTTGTGTGGACTCCAGGTTTTTAAGGGAGTCTCTTTGCCCCCTCCCCTCTCCTCCAGGACAAAGGATGGGGAGCCTGGCGAAAGGGTGTGTTGGGTGAAAATCAGCAAATTCCTCCCCAGATTTGCTGGCTCTGGGCAGAGCAGAGGGGCTCCCCTTAGAGTGCCTGTGAAGGGTTTAGTGCCCACGTTACCAGGTCAGGGAGCCCATTTGGTCCTGAGGAGAGAGAGTTCTCCTGGGAGCTTCCTTGGGGTCAGGGCCGGGACCACCTGGGAGGGCATCAGGGTCTGAGCAGGACCTCGAAGCGCAAGATGCTGGGCCTCTGGGGCTTCCAAAGCAGAGGACGGTGCCTACCTAACAAACATCCCACACTGAAGTCTCCGGCTTGGACCTCGACCCTGCTCCCAGCTGCTTCCTGCTGGTGTGTACCTTGGGAGGCAGCCGGCGGTGGCCCAAGTACGTGGGCTCCCGCCATGTATGTGGGAAACCCAGATGAGTTCTGGGTTCCCGGCTTCGGCCTGGCACAACCGTGGATGTGGGAGCACTGGGGAGTTTACCAGGTGATTGAAAGATACTTCTTGTTCTGTCTTTCAAATAAGTAAGTAAAATGATTAATCCATTTAAACAATATTTATTTGTTTGAAAGGTAGTTACAGAGAGGTCTTCTATCTGCTGGTTCACTCCCCAAATGGCCACAATGGCCAGAGCTGAGCTGACTGAGAGCTGGATCGGAAGTGGAGAAGCCGGGACTCGAACCGGCGCCACATGGGCAGCGGCTGTACCCGCTACGCCACAGCGCCGGCCCCCATTAGCCCATTTTGAAGATGACACGCATTTAATACACCCGCACTGCAGTGCAACCAACAGCACATTGTCACTGTGCCTCTCAGGATCCGAGGCCCAGCCCAGAGCGGGGGACCACACGGCCCTGGGCCTCGGAAAAGTCGGTGTCCACGGAATGCATGTCTCTCTGGGGCCACTGTCAAACTGTAAGTCGAGCCGTCTTAGGCTGGAACCGTCCATGGTTTCTGAGAGAGGACTGTAAAGGTCTGCCAACCAAGTACACAGCGTATTCGCCGGCTAACCGAAGGGCAGCTGGCAGAAGCGGCCACCACCACTGGGGTGGCGCGGAGGCGCCGCGGGGGCCGGGACCCAGACCTCCCGGAGCCCGCACACTGGACAGAGCCGGGGGCCGGCGGCGGGACGGCAGGTGAGGCGCCCTGCCCACGGACCTCGCTGGCCGCCTGCGAGGCAGACGGTGCGCATGGCCCAGCCTCAGCGCCCGAGGCGCGCAGCAGGTGATCTGGGTTAGACCCAGAGGAGCCGGCGTGGGGTCGGCTTCCTCCAGCACCCTAGAACTCATCCCACGGGGACGCGCGGGGGTGCGGCGGGTGCCCGGCGGGCAGCCTGGGGGTGCGCGAGGACCCTTGCCGCGGAGGCCCCCGGGCCGGCTGCCAGGCCCACCCAGGGAGGGGTCACACCTGGGCCTGCGCCTGCCTCCCACAGCCCCCGGGCGTGAGGCTCCAAGCTGGGCTT